TGTGTGTGTGTGTGTGTGTCAAAATATTATCAGTACTCACAGAATAGAGACGATACACCGAGCAAAAGGCTCCTCTCGCCCTTTCATGACTTACTACAGAACTTGCATCCATGCAACAAGTTGACACTCGACAATTCGTTGTTACAATACCTCGAACTTTTGTAATGACAATGATAAACATCAGTTTACAAAACCGAAGGATATACAAATGTAACTTTTCTGCTTCCCACTGCGGACCTAACAGAACACCCGACGTTATTACGAAATTTACTTCCGTTAAAGCGATGTGCAAGTATTGCTGTAGTGTGTTTAGATGCGATTGGAATCTTCATTCCCAACCTGTCTTGCATAAGTAATCAACTCCATGGAACGGAGTTCGAATCCAGAGGTTCGTTACCGAGTCCATGGGAGCCATAGCTGGCCCCTGTTCTCAGTTTCTTTGAAGTTTCGGCTACTGCGCACTCTGATGTTGACATGGAAATAACCAAATCCCGGGTGAAAAACGGATACTCCATGTTTGCTGGTATTTACACTCTGAGGCCTGCAGCAGTATGGTCTTCTCCACATCCTTGCAACATTTTATGCAGCGGTATTTCAGAAACTTTCTCCATCAAAAATCTGCTTCATTTCATGTTTTACACACAGCTAAGCCTGAACGATTACTTTCTTTTGAAGTCAACGTGTCAGGGCCAATGAGCCTACGCTTTGAAATATTTAGAAATTTCTTGAATGTCAATGTACAATGTACATTTAGAAAATCAAAATTAAGGTGTGCTGAAGTTGTCCCGGCGCTTAATTAAGCACCAAATCATGAAGACGTCTGGGGAGTGAAGGTAAAGCTCCATGAATTCTTATCCGTGACACTACAAGGATTGGAATAGTTAGTTTCATGCTCCGGACGTTTTACAATATCCAAACACTACAATGCTGAATTGTATATTCTGTTCTTTTTGTTTCAGAAGTCATATGTTCATACTGCCTTTCACACAAACACAACTCACAAAATTTGTTTAAAAATAGTCGTTTACATATGTCAAACGTAACACAAAAATATGCATGCAATGAAACCACACAGAAGCAGGTACAATGTGGGCTATTATCGATAGAACATCACATCAGTTTACGGTTCCGCAAGAAATTCATCATGAGAACTGATGAGCACAATGACAGGCATCTGGAGCCGTTAGATGTCTACATGCTGCAGAGGGCCTTGGTGTCACGGGAATATCGCAACTTGCATGGATCTTCTCTGCCCTTGCGCACCTTCCACAGCGCCGGCCTTCGTTTCTGTGAACACGTGCTTTGTTGGCAGTAAATACCAAATCCGGCAGGTTTACTTCGAAGATTCTCCGCATTACGACCGTTTCATGCGATCTGTTGTTTGATAAACATTCAGAGAGTCACGTGGTATGTCGGCAGGCGAAAGCTGTTGCTGAGCGCTGTGGCGACTCTGACCTCCAGTGTGAGGGGAACGTCCCGTCTGGCAGGGACCATGGTCGTGCCCATACAGGAGGCGAAGCGCTTCATGGTGGAGGCCATGGTTGCTGTGGGCACAGTCCAGCAACACGCAGAGCAGATGGCAGATGTGCTGGTGGCTGCCGACTACAGGGGTCACTACAGCCACGGTCTGAACCGTCTCGGTGAGTATATCGACTGGGTCACATCGTCACCTCCAGCGAATTGGTGCCTCAGTGAGCATTCACAGTGAATAACTAATGTAAACAATAAAGCATCTTTAAATTATTTAAATCTGCGGTCTAGGAAACCGAAATTAATGGCCGTGTGGATTCTTTGGGCTGACCACGCGACACCCTCCAACCCCCTAAAGTTGGCACTAACTTCGGCGACAAGCGGCGGTCGCTCGGTCGGTATAGTTCGCTTTAGAACTAAAGCCACGGAGTTTGTTTAGTTGGTTAAATCAGGTGGGCCAAACTGTAACTGTTGTTACGCCTACGCTAGAGCAAGAATGCCATAACTGCACTTGCGAGAGCATTATGAAGATCAGATCAGTGGGAACGACAGCAGTAAACAGACACGAGATTCACAGCTACATTAAAGGAGGAATTGCTTAGCTTGTCACTGCTCTGTTCCAAAATGTTACAGCATGGCGCAGCTCACTGCACACCGAGCTGTTGTTTAGCCCATTGAAGGTAGAGTGATTGCTGAAGCTAAGAATGCATTGTTAGGAGTCGCTATAGGGACAGGCTATATGCTCGGCAGGCCGTGGTCGAGACCATAAACTGTAAGATTTTTTTCTTCTCCACAGCGTCCAGACCGATTCTGGGGTCCATCCAGCCTCCTATCCCATGAGTACCGGCGGCTCTTTCCCTCTGGGGGGCAAAGTAGCAGGGGCGTGAAGCTGACCACCCACATCCATCTATTGCCGAGGTCAACAAAAACAGAGATATACCTCCACTTCACCGTATGTTTTAATGGTTTGGCGCTTAACTAGTTAAGCACAGGGACAACTTAAGAATGCATTGTTAGAACAATTCGGTCACTGTAGTACACTGCAATAGAAAGTCCTTTACTGTCCGGTAATTCTGACTGCTGACTGATTATGGGCATTGCCAAACTACCGTGGTGGGTGGAGCAATTCCTCCAAACGTCTTCATGGCGCGGAGCTGGATGGATTCTACTCAAAGTAGTATCAAAGAAGAAAGAATCCAAATCTCCTTAGCAAGAATCGAACCCCTGACGCCAATCGGCACCGAGTACCTTTGGATGTGATACAAGCAAAATGTCGACAGCAGAAACCCCAGACCCGATCTGTAGAACGTGTGTCTGTTGGAACACCTTGTTAATTGTGGTGACGTCATACAAAGCAGAGAGCGCAATTGTGGCCAATTATAACTCGCAGCATCTCAAACTGGCACGCGTCTGCGCACTTAGCAATACTGTTGCTGTATCTCGACCACCAGCAAGTTCCCACCTCCCCCCCCCCACAAAAAAAAAGGCAAAAATAGTACAGATGCATGTGGGTTGATGAAAAAATGGTGCATATCCTCCACAAAATTAATCATATGCATAGTATCCGACTGTCCGCTACCTAACTTCAGCAGTCGATAGAGCTTTGCCGGCCGGTATGTGTTGACCCCGTTCACTACCGGCCCCGCTATGAACAAACAGTTTCATCACAAGTGAACTTCATTTTGTAACACCCAGTCGGAACGTTACTGATCTGCCGCGGTGTTTCATTGTCAGGTCGCTATCAATCTTTGTCACGATGAAACAGTGAACTTGGGTGTGTTGCTACGGCGGTTCTGGTTCTGCGAAATTGCATTACCATGGTAGCAGAAGTTTCCAGTCCCCCTATAGCAGTATCACTGTTATCATCACAATTATTCTCGCTATTTGCGTCTTTCTTTTCTCACCGTGGGATATTTAACGACGCCTTTTCAGTACACTGCACGTTTCGATTGTAGCACGTGGTACTGACGTTGGTTGAGGGACCATGCTACAAGCCGGAAGGTCGCGGGTTCGATTCCCGATGAGGACACTGGATTTTTTCAATTGACCTAATCTGTCCAGCCGCACTGTGGCCCTGGTGTCGACTCAGGCGGCCGCCGTATGAGACTGACCTCACCGCCATCTGTGAGCCGACTGTGTAGAGAAAATGTGGGAGCCTCGACTTCTCGCAACCCTATGGGCCTCCACGGCCTGTTACAGGGATAGCTTTGCCTTTTGTGCCTTTACATGTTTCGATCCCCGGAGAGGTTCATTATCACGTAGTTACAACACTACTGAGGCCTCACAGCGCGCCATTAAATTCCTTCGTGAAGAGCAGCGTTCTTGTTGTTGACAATAATTATAATGATCGGTTTCCTGACGCAATTGTCTTGTGTCGACCGATACTCGGAATCCTGAAATTCACCTTAGTCGTTTACAAATTCAGCTTCAGTCCCTCTGTAAAGACACTGCCTCTCCATTAAAACACCAGTCGGCTCTTGCTGTTAGGGGAAACATTGCAGAATCATACGAAACTCATAGAGTCTGTGGGCAAAATGAAGATTTTTTCCTCTTCTCAGATAGTTAGTTGCAGTCGGTTCTTGAGTAGTTCTGATTTTGAATATTAAAATATCACTGTTTTATCACTGTTCGTGGCGGGACGAGCCAACGGAACTAAAGCAAGAAAGTGAAATTGAAAGACTGATGTGAAGAGAAAATGGACTCATTATGAAAACTACCTTCTGCAGTGTATATGCAGACATTTTCTTCATCGTTCTGCAGAGAGTAATGAAGGGAACAAGGTTCTAATATTTAAATAATTAAATAGTAGTGTAAGTTAATGCAAATGTAGTCTTGTAAGAAACTGGGTAACCCCTTCAAGCACAGCAGTAACTGTGTATGCCTCCAGTTTTATAATAAAAAAGAGGTTGCATTCTGCCCTCACAGTGTATTTGTGTGTTCCGTATGGTACTCACAATGAACAGCGAATACTTTTCCCCAAGCAACATTATCCGGCTTGTCTCTGTAATGGAGACGCAGTATTTCCTGTGAGGTATGAACTGAAACTATTAAATATCATTCCGGTGAATTGCGATCCGTAATACAGTATTGTAACCTGACGATGGCAGTTTCTGATGTCCTTCCTAATATTATCCTTTGTTGACTTATAACGAGAAATTGATAGCGTTAAACCCTCACACAGAAATGTACTTGGCTGACATCGAAACCAAGACGACAGATGCAAACGCCAAGCCGGCCGTGCTGAAGGAGTCGCCAGCAACGGCCTGGGTGGACGGCAACAATGCGCTTGGCCCCGTGGTGGGCAACTTCTGCATGCAGCTCGCCATCCAGAAGGCCGAGGCTGTCGGCGTGGGATGGGTTGTGGCCAAACGTACGTGTGTAAGAAAGTGACTTGGGGCCAAATTGACGTCATGAGCAGGGGTGTTACGAATAAGTATGCACTTTTAAACAGGTATTCTGAACAAGCTATTTCTCAAATAAAATTTCTATTGATATATGAATTATACAACAATAAACCTGGAGTTTTAACAAACGATCATTATTTGAGTAAATAAATTTCGCAACGTGCGGAAGAGAGAAAAGACAAAAGAGAAACTGCCCAATTTCTCATCAGTGTTTCTCTGAGGACGATTTGTCAGTTCTACCAACTTACGTGTTACAGGCTCTAACCATTACGGGATCGCAGGCTGGTACACGCGGACGGCCCTGCAACACGGACTACTGGTAGGCTTTCGACTGTATAAGAACATTACGTCCATGTGTTTCTGTATCATGTGATAATAGCGCGTTCTTTTACAGGGAATGTCCTTCACGAACACGTCACCTTTGATGGGCCCCACCAGAGCCAAGGAGGTGAGTGCACACAGCTGGCTCTCTCGTCAAATGCCACTTTCGTCCATTAGTTCAAAATGCACAGTATTTGGCGTGGGGAAAAGGCATCTGCCTCTCGCATTTTTTATTTTGGAAAATCGAAAAAACGAGGAAATTCTAAAAATGATTGTGCAACATGAATACTCGAGGACGACCAATAAAAACAGGCGAAAGCTGGATGTACACCGTACGAATGAAAGCGAAATAACACGAATGCCCTCACTTTCCTGAATGTTTTCCCGCAGTTCGGTAACCCGCCCACACTGCAAGGAAGGTTCGCATTTGGCCGAGTTCGATGCTGGTCCCACCTCCATGGACGTAGTTAGAGCTGGCGTAAAGCTCTATTCTGTACCGGCTCTAAATTTCGTTTTCCCCTCCTGTGGCCATGAGTGAAGAAATTTCTCCAGGGCTCCTGCCGCCTCACACCCGAGCAGTTGGTCGATTTCTTCCCAGGCATCGCCGTTATTTGAATCCAGTCTATAAACTGAATTTGGCGGCGCCATAGCTCAAACGGTTAGTCGCTGGCTTCTCACCGCGGCGGCCCGGGTTCGATCCCGGGGTCTGGTCAAGTTGAATTTGTGGTGGACAAAGTAGTGCTGGGGCGGGTAGTCTCCGAGTACTTCGGTTTTCCCTGCCAATCTTCATTCCACCAAATTCTCCATCATCATAATCACCCGGGGCAGGCTACAATAGGCCAATCAGTAGCCGCCGTGCCGAGTGGACCAGTTGGACTCCACCCCCAACTAAGCGAATTAAAAAAATTAAACCGAATTTGCTGGATCCCATGAGCATGTTCTTTCCCTGCATTCTGATATTATATGTTATACCGCATCGTCTGACTTCTCTGTGACAGAAAATGAACGTCAAAAAGAACAAATGAACGGAAATTACTAAAGGAGAACGATCCATTCCGTCGGAAGCAAACGGCAAACGTTTTTCCTGCCCACACGGCGCACGAAGTTCCGTTGCTGTACTGCTCCGCCAGCGAAACGGACCAAAGACGAATGAGCCATTCATTTCGGGCCGTCGCTGGCCTCCTTTCGCTTTCGTTCGCACACTGTGTACCCACATTTTAAAGCGGCCTCGACGGCTGTGCCCTCTCCAGCAACCATTATGGCATTTCGCCAAATGCAGACGTTGCTTCGTCTTGCAGCACGTGGACAAGACCACAGCCAGAAAAAAGGAAAACATCCGTAACTTGCTAACACCGCCATTCCATGTTGACAGGCTGCGCTCGGCACTAACCCCTTATCGCTGGCCGCCCCGGGGAAAAACGGAGACAGCTTCGTCTTGGACATGGCGACGACGGCGGTAGCTGTTGGCAAGGTAAGACTGCTTCTAGCATATATAGACGAATATCATTTCCGTCTTTAGCCCCCTGGTCGCCATCCCTCCTCGTCCATCCAATGCCGTCGCTTCTCTGCCTTGCATCACAGATCTACTTCAGCCACCAGACCGACGCCTCAGTATCTAGACTGTACAGCGTCGAATGGTAAGATGAATTGCGAAGGATTTGGAAGATATCTGTCGTAGCCTAATCGAGATGCCATATCGGAATCTGCCGAAGAGACTGAGAAAAGCCACGAAAAATTTCAGTCACGATAGCCGGACCCCAGCAGAGATTTGACCCGAGCACCTCCCGAATACGAGCCTAGAGCGCTACAGCTAAGCCAACCTGCTCAGGTTCTTCCCTTGTTCCTCCTGGTATCCGTTCCAACACTTGATTGGTCCATCCGCTGTCTGCCCATATCACATTGCTTAGTTTTGAATTTTGTATGTCAGTTCCATCTGATCACATGATCTGGAATTTTGTGTTCCAATTATAGTCTTGCTAGTCGTCTCCAAAAATCCATTCTCACAATACAATATTTGTAATTATTGTCTCTTTTTTTTAATGCTAGTGGGATGGGACTAAGTCCCTTGTACTGCGGTCACTTCTGGCCTATTGTACCAGCCCCAGATGATAAGTGAGGATAATTGTGGAGCAATTGGTGGAATGAAGATTGGCAGGGGAAACCGAAGCACTCGGAGAAAACCTGCCCCAGCGCCACTTTGCCCACCACAAATCCCACTTGACCAGACCCGGGATCGAACATGGGCCGCCGCGGTGGGAAGCCAGCGACTAACCGCTTGAGCAATGGCGCGGCCCAATTATTATCTCTTAAATATTTCCTTTGGGTTTCCTTGTAATTCCTTGTCTTATAATGGGCCGTATTCCATCTGTCGTCTAAACTGATATATCCTGGGATTATTCTGCACCCCATTTCTAAGCAATGCCCAATATATTCATTAATTTTCATCCGCAATCCCACCCGATACAATTATCACAGTGATTTATAATACCGTTGTCATCGTGGGGCATGTTGTGCCCGAGGGGCCTAGTTCACAAATATTTTGTTTTCGTTTTTGTCGACCATGCTTCACCTTAGAACCGAAGAGCAGAGTTTCGGAGCAGACGCCAGGAACAGGAGAACACTGGATTCAGAGTGACAGTTGTGTGGTGTGAACTGACCCGGGCTCGATGCCTGTCACTCAGTCTGGCCATCACTGTTGCAGATCGAGATGCAACGCAGGAAGGGAGAACCCATCACAGAGGGCTGGGCGCAGGACCCTCAGGGGCAAAGCACCACCGATGCAGACCTCGCCTTCAAGACGGGCTGTCTTATGCCTCTTGGAGGTCCTGAGATCACATCCGGGTATAAGGGCTATGGATTGGGTCTCCTCGTCGAGACTTTCTGCGGCGTCCTTGCGGGTACGGTTGGCTTGAGTTAAAAATCACGCAAATCTGCAGCTTGCATTAAGATGAAAATCTTAGGCCTGTGAATTTTCTACGTAAATGAAATTACGACAGTCAGAAGAAACATGTGAGTCAGTAGGCTTCATACGTTTTTACTCTGTCGCCTTTCTTAAAACAGTCGCAGCAACGGCAACGGCTGCGAATGTTGTTGCATAAATAAACCACAGACTGTTACAGGGTCTGCTTTCGGGCCTAATATTCGGCGCTGGATGGAGAACACGGACAGACCCGCCGATTTGGGCCAGTGTTTCGTGGCCATCAACCCGCAATTCTTCGCTCCTGGGTTCGAGGACCGAATGAGCAGCCTCATGGACCATCTGAGGAGCATGCACCCGGTGAGTCATTACAGACCGACATTTCACATAGCACTGTATGTATGTGTGTGCCAAGCAACTGAATGGAAGCAAAATTTGGTATGAATGACATGCCACCCTACTTTCATACTTATAATCCCAGTTCTGAACGCCGCAAACATGGACGCCATACAAAGCTTGAGATTGGATTAACGTTAATGCTGTGATAGAAGAACTGCATCTGCAGCACACCAGACCCGAAACCACAGCTTTGGACGCCTTCATAACGAAATGCGCCTCTTAGTTTCGCCATGTCTCCCTGTCCGACCGTCAGCACGTATGAGCTTAAAGAATTGTCCTGAAGGTTTTATATTGGGAAGTTTAGCTGTAATTAGTCGATACATCACATTTATAGTTAAAATCTGATAACAATAGCGAACTCTTTACATATAGAACTGCGTGTATCTCGCCAAATATTTATCGGAGTGACAACGTACTCCAATACTGTCCTCGATTTTAACCAAACTTAGAATAAGCCAACAAGTTTTAGTACAGTTTCACAAATTAGCCCATCTTGCAGCTCTCGACATGTTACATATGTTGTGCCCCAGGTTATTAATGGATCAAATTTATGTTTAACTTGTTAGAAAATAATTATAGAAGTTTTATAAATTGAAATAGGTCGGGTGAACCACAAGTTGGAAACCCGCCGGAAGCCAGAGTTGAGACGCCGTACATTCTTTAGCCATCCGGTGTCAGTTGTACAGTCTAGAAAGTGCTGACAAATTAAGTGACGACACGAAGCAAGTCTCGCCATATCGCCACCGCACAAGTTGCTGACCTTAGGGGTTTTGCGCGAGCAGCCTTTCGAGCTTTCGAGGTGTTGAATTTGAGGGGCTCGGACGAGAGGAGCCGCGAACACTCTGATTTTAGGAAGAGCTCTGAACTTCAGAACACTCGCGTGGTAGGAGGGAATCAGATATCTTCCTCTTATGTAAGCATAAGATGTTATGTTCGGATTACTGATGGTTGCCAATATATAATTCTGGTTCAATGATTTTGGTTTGGTAACGGATTTTCAGAATAAAATTTGTCAAAAGAATTTAGCGTATAACCTTTGGTTCATGGACTGTTAAAGTGTAATTTTTTATGTATTGAGTGATTATGAGAATGTACAAATTTTGATTTATCAAGTGATGAGTAAGATGCAAGAATTCGGTTCAGTAATTAAGCTTAGGACGTAACATTTGATTCACTGGTTGCTTGTTGAAAATACCAATTTTGACTCGTAGAGTGAATGTTACTCAAGGAAATATGGTTTATTGATGTTAAGAAATGAAATTTAGTTCACTAATTAATGGTTAGCCGGTCACGGTAGCCGAGTGGTCTAAGGCATACACTGTCTTCGCTCGCTTGGAAGCCGAGATCGTGGGTTCTAATTCCACTCAGGGCATGGATGTTTGTGCGCGTTTTTCTGTGTTTGTCTACAGGTAGAGGCCTTGCGACGAGCTGATCACTTGCCCAAGGAGTCCTACTGTATGTGTAAGATCTCGAAAAACCGAAGTGAACGGAGAAGTTCATGGAGGTAGGCCTAGGCCGACTGGGCCTGTAGTGCCAAGGCGGGGGGGAAATAGTGATTAGCGTACGAAATTTGGTTTATTGTTAAGATATAAATTTTGGTTAGCGAATGATGGTACAGTGTGAATTTAGTTCGCTGTTATTGCATGATAATTTTGGTTTACTGACTGCAGAGTACAGAAATTTGGTTTACGCCATGCAGGTTTAGTCAACTAGGGGTAGTAAGGTTTAGGAGGTTATTGCAAGGTGCATAATCACCGATTGTATGTGTTAATAGGCTGTACATATGCAATTGTTGATTTAATTACATTTTCTCTTATTTTGACATGCTTAGTGTTTATTTGGGTTATTTGTAATAATTAATTCATTGGGCAGAGTAGAAGCTATCCACAGATGTTGAACTGGTTGCAGTTAGGTGGGATTTTCTAAATTTTGATGGTGGCAGCATTAAGATATAATAAGTATTTTTTGTGTCGCAATCATGTGGCACAACACATATGAACACAGCCAGAAAGATACACACGTGGGCACAGTCTTCCTTCCTAATTCTCTATGAACAGAGCGTAGCTACACTTCTGCTTTCTGTCTCCAGGCAGACCCCTCGAAGCCAGTGCTGGTACCTGGTGACCCTGAACTCAATCACATGAAGATGGTGGATGAACAAGGAGGCGTGCCTTACCACGAGAACCAGCTGAAAGCCTCGGTAGGTCCCTCTTCTAGAAACAGACTAGGATCGAGTAATGCACGCAAGTCACATTTTGGAAAGTGCAAAAGCAGAACCGAAACAAACCGAAGGCTCTAATATTCACGCTGAGAGTGGTTATCCTGATGTTTCTCGTGGCTCTTCTCAGTCACTCCAGTCACATTTAAAGTTGACAAAGGTGTCATTAAACAAGTATCCTAAAGGTAAAGGTATCCCTGTAACAGGCAGTGAAGGCCCATAGGTTTGTGAGACGTTGAGGCTCCCACATTTTCTCTAGACAAACGGCTCACAGATGGTGGTAAGGTTGTCAGCCTTATGCTCAGGCCGCCCTTTACACCCCAGGAAGATTCCTAGTACTCATTTCTGTTAGAGGCTGAGTCGACCCCAAAGCCATACTGTGGCTGGAAGGATTAGGTAAATTGAAAGATCCACCTCATTGGGTTTCGAATCCATGACCTTCTGGCTTGTAGCATAGTGCCTCAACCAACTACGCTACCGCGTGCCCCCTAAATAAATATCATATCAACGCATTTAATTTAATTTAATTAGGTCGGACTTGTATTGGGTGATACTGGGTTCGTGGCACAAGACCACTGGCTATTGTGGTTTAGCCCATTTCCTTCTGGAGCACTACACCACACAACCCCCTTGCCTATCCTTTACAGATTACCACTGGTAAATAGTCTGCGCATTACCCTGGCACCTGATACAGCCTCATTGTATAACATACTGGGCATTCTTAGATAATTATGGTGATGTCATTGTTTGTTCATTGTTGCAGGCAGCCCTAGCCAAGAGACTGGCCATCAGACCCCTGCAGGAGGCATAAAGCGCGCTGGCTACAGCGATATTCCATTGTTACATGTTAATCTTCATATCTTGTTGTAATGAATAATGTTCCACGTGATTCACTTCAGTGTCTGCATTTGTGACTTTAAGCTGTTCAGCATAGCTGATACACAGTAATATGGTCATATTATGTGAGAAACCATAGTAACCTTCCCTCAGATATAAGGAATTGCACTTGAAACTGGACCGATGCCAGAGCCCGGTTCAGAGAAGGAGTTAGTGAGTGAGTCCTCTCTCGCATCACCCCCATAGACGGGGAGTGACCAGTAGTAGTCAGGCATTTCTTCTCATCAAAGAGGAGGCCTCATTTAAAAATATGTAAAAGTCTTGGAAGGAACAAAAATATGGGACCCAAAACCAAGACTGACTGTACTAATTGGCATACCTGTTGTTACTGAAAATTAACACCTTCATTGCAAAGCCTATTTTTTACAATATCTGAGACCCGCTATTCAACGACAAAGCCCACAAATGTATTCTATCTGAAGTCAACTAGATATACCACAAAGCCCACAAAATATACAGGATCTGAGGTCCGTTACTGCAACATAAAACCCACAAAGAGACTTATATCTCAGATCCAGTACAGTATCTTAGATCCCTTATTCAAACTTAATGCCCTCTGATTCCAGGCCTGAGCTAGACATGGCTTATGATGATTGCATAAAATATGAATTACAGTAAAACTAAGACAAAAATCTGTATGAAAAGAAATCAACAGTCCCCACACTCATGAAAATGTTTTCATAATAGTCCATGGAGAGTTCAAATGGGACATGACTAGAAAAATAAACAGTTGTCTTTATGTGTCACACAAGTTAAATAAGATCACATATCCTTGAATTAATTTTTTCATCTGATGCTGAAGTCCTGGAAATTAATTTTGCATCTTATTAACAATATTGAAGTGCCATATAAATATTAACTATAATTTATAATGTATTTTTGAATGTAAATTAAAATGCAAGGAACAAAATGTGTAAGAACAGAAGAGCGGAGCTGGCATGAAATGCAATTTATGTTCTACAGGGGAGAAAGCAGTAATTGTATATTTGAGGTGTTCATGGCAGTGAAGGTCCACATTATGATACTGTGTAGTCTCTTACATGGGTACCAGGTTTTCAGAAGAGTATGCTTTCTCTGTCTAGAGGCAGAAGGCACTTCCACCCTGAAGATGTATGTAACCACCTATCAGCCAATATGATGTCACAGTCCACAAAATCACAATATGAAAATAGTAAGCATAATTGTGTTCAACATATAAAACAGACACAAATTCATAATTAAAACAAGTTATACGAGTATACAAGCTTTCTTACTGGGCAAAGATTAGACTATTCTGAAAGCTGCATCCATATATGTCCTGTCATCAGAAAGCACCATCAAAGGGTAAGTTTGACACGTTTTATATAAAACAGAAATACAGAATTATTCTTACCAGCACAGCATCTAATTCAGTTAAACAATTATACAAACAAATTTTGATAACAGTAATAGAAATTTAAATAAGAGGTAGACAATATGTTCTTTCTCCGTGACAAGCTTTTGAAAGACAGAGGCCATTGGACAGACTTGGTGATACAGAATCTACAGAAAGTGGAAACTTTGATTATTGAAGAGTATATGGATCTTATGAATGTGTTGTGAGGGTATGGGCTGGATTCAGTTGAAGCAGGACAGAGTCCACTGATGATCTCTTATGAACACAGTAATTGCCTTCGAATTTTGTAAATGGTGGACAATTGCTTGAATAGCAAATAGTTATCAGCTTCTCAAAGAATTATGCTTCATAGATTTAACAATATATATATATATATATACACACATACACACACTGCATATTCTCACAAATGTAATTTTGAGGTTAGTCGTTAAAACATGTAAAATACATTCAGCCGCTGGAATTCTGTGAACCTTTTATTTCAGAATTTTGGATGCTATTGAAAGGGGGCAACCACAGAAGGAGGTGCTGCTAAATAATGTACGTATTGTTGACAAATATGCTACGTGGTTATATGCATTACACACTCAGTGCAATTGAATTACTTCATTATTAATTTCAAAGCTGCTTCTTCCTTGAAAAAAAAAACGCGTTTTCTGGTACTCTGACGCCGCTGTTGTCTCCAAAACATATGTAACGGTGCGACTCACTTCTGAAGTTTGCCGATTTGCGTACCGGATCCTAAGAGGCCGCTTGTTATTGTTACAGTTATTAAGTATAATTATTAATATTTTAGAATGGACTTAGCACATGCTGCGTCGATTAAACAAAGGTAAACGACGTGCATCTACCCGGAAATAATGTATGGGATGTATTCGAATTTAAGAATGGAAATTTCACATCTACAGAAACATCCAACAGTTCTATACATTAAAAACATGAATTAGTTACGTCAGTACTTACATAAATTATTAAATGCAGTGCGTTGTTTTAAAACCCTTGTCGATTCTAAACAAAGAACCGTATAAAATACACCACATTCCAATAATTGCGCCCAATTTTATACTTTCATACAACCACGACATCTGACAGCTTTATGAAGTACTGTCATATTCGTCATATTTATCACCAATTCAATTTCCGCTCCCAATATTTGCGAAGGAAAGGAGAGGAATCTGAGAAGGCCTGGCGTAGTAAATGTAGTGAACAAGAGAAATAAGAAGCTCTTATTTAGGATAACTGAGGTTCGAACCCGGTTTCTTCTAAATGTGCGCTATTTCTGGCTGAATCTACTAGGTGCACCAGAAACTGAGGGCGGAAGAAAGTATGTCCACATGCGCACGGAGAGTATGAGGGGGCTTGAAGAAGACAATCGGAAATGTGACTACACACGCAATGAGTCGCATGAGTTGTGTGCTTGTTAGGTTCGTAAGGTTAGTAATGGACATTTCGCAGGTAGATATTAATTTGATTCGAAAGTAAACAGCGAAGTGGCCTACATATCGGAGACCTTAGTTCTCACAACAGTCAGAATGAAGATATTGCATTCTGGAATGTCGTACTGTGTTTGATATTTTACCGAAGTTGGGCACGGGATATGGTTACGAAAGTTTGTAAACTTTTGCCAGACTACACGGTGTATTATCCCAGAAAATGACACTCATATTTTACATAAATTTGGAAAAATGAATTTTTTGCCGTTGGGTATACCAAATCGCCCTTCTATCCATTTGTTGCACGGACGAGGCTGTTTATGGCAAATCACATCAGAAACTACTTTACCTTTACCTCCACACAGCAGTGTCCTCAAGAAACTAATAAATAGGCCCCTTAGCTATGAAATCCCAGAGCTTTATTACCATGTTGAAAAGCTCCCATCCTAAGTCAAATGCTTTCCACACCCTGAAATGCCATCTCTTTAAAGATTCATTTTAATATTTTCCTCCTGTTTATGGCTAGGTGATCCAAGTGATCACTTGAAGTTTTAGCTAGAATTCTCTGTGCATTTCTACTCACTTCATGGTTGCCACGTGTCCTGCTAATCTCATGCTGCATAATTTTCTCATCCTAATAATGTCTGGCAAATAAGAGTTCAGTTTGGGCTTCACACAAAGGAGTGATAGTTCAGCTACATGTACCAAAAGTAAAGTCGTATCAGAAGTTTTCAGTGTAGACCATTAAATATAAAATTTAGTTACAAATTCATGGAGGTTTTTCCAAGATGAAGCACCCTGAAGAATGGACAGGCCCCAGAATTTCACTTTATGAATTTATTTTATGCAAAGGTCACACATATTTAAAATCAGATTGTTTCATTTTAAGCAGTATGCGCCAAAACTTCAGACACTTAAATAAATTAACCAAACCAAAAACATACATTTCAAAACTAGATTTGTTTGATCATTGTCACAATTGTTACACCATCTTAATTACAGTGGTTACTTAGTGTTGCAGAAAATTAATTTATAAAGAGAATCTGAGGAAGGAAGTGGCCATGTCCTTCATGTAAACATCCTGTCAGACCAGTTGTACCCTGAAGATGGAGGCAGTATTATTCCTATGGTACATTTATGCCCATCTGTATTATGCTACATGCCACAACCCAGATCACAATGTAAGCCTTGCTCAGCTATGATAATCTCGGATCTACTACAATCAAATAGACTATTTTGAGGCAAGAAATGTATATAGAGTTTTAGTGGGGAAACTTGCTACAAATCCTTACCTGTTCACCATACATCTTCCTGTCACATACAACACTCAGTCCATGTCCTTAACTGATGAAAGACTGACTGGTGTAGCACTTTAAAAGAAGTTTCAACTTTGCAAAATACAAGTCAGGAAATATACGTTTAACATAACAGTTCTCTCTCATTACGCTCCCTTCTGTTTCATTATCTCAAAATCAGTGCTACATAAAATGCGTATTGACCATACAATTTGTTTCATTACCTTGCTGAGAAAACGTGTACATATATTATCAATTTGTTCCAACAGTATGGTTTGTTAATTTCACATTTCCATAAAACTCACTGCTATGAAGAAAATCATCCTCACAAGATTTTCAAAGCTACAATCTGTACACTGCATTTTCCACGTTTTTTATCCACATTGGCATTCTGAATACTCCTGTTTCTGACCCTCCACTCATTTTGTGCAAGTTTGTTCTCACAGTTTCTGCTAGGATCCACCCCAAGATGACAGATGACCCCTTGGTCCATGAGTTGCAACAAAGAGGTCATACTTGGCAGCCAGAAAATGACTTTTATATTATTAGCAAGGTAGTCAACATTAACAACAGTCCAAAGTAGAGAAGACCCTGTTGGATTTGAGGTTCTCACTGTAGTGACTCTGAAGAGTATTATCTTCAGGAATGTGACACTGACATTCCTTTCAAACGCCAATGAACTTCTATCAGACTACGCAGCATTACACCCCAGAAGATGGTACTCTTCAGAAAAGATCCTGTTGTAGGTACATTGTGCCTTAAAATACTTTTCAGTGAAGAGAGAAGAGGACATAACCCAGCCCTGGAAGGACGCTCTCATTCAGGCTTTGTCAGATTGTCAAACCATTGGGAAATGAATGTTTGCATACCCCTTCAGTGCCATTGACTTCTCTGAAAGTACACCAAGAGGGCTTTCAACTTCACATCTTCTGCTTTGCCACTGAATAGAAACATAAGACAGTCTGTGGCAGTATTCAAACCCAATGTGGTTGGTGTTCTCCTAAAAATGTATGTGTGGGATGATATTTTCTTCCAGTGCAAATGTCTGCATTATGTTCAACTGAAACATTAAACTTCTTCTAGTCTACATTGCATCACAGCCAAAAACCGATGCTCTTCAAAAGCTGTACATTTTAGAACTTGTGGCTCTGAACCTAACCATTCAGCAAAAGAAAGGTCACTACAGAGTGTAATGGATAGGCAGTTCCATAGCAATCTGCATGCTGAAGGATGTGAAAGAGGGCTGGGATTGGTCCTAACAACAGGTTGTGTGTGGTCTTAGAAATTTATTTTATATTAAAAATTCTTACATTCAATATAGTTCATTTGTGAGCTAAAAGCCACGGAGTTATTATTTATTATTATATCACAAATCACACAAATTACAAAAAGCAGCTGTAATCCTAAGGGCTGTAACACGCCTTATTTTCTCCTGGTGCCATATATGTGCTGTGATGGACGGAAAAAGCGACTGGCTACCTTACTCAATGGATGCCCAGGTCCAGTAGCCATATAGGGTATTTCGCCCTCACACTCACTGGCAGTGCTATAGACATAACTGGGCAACATGATGGTCCCCAGCATCAGGCAGTTGACGGTACTCAATACAGCTTCTGGAACTGGTGTAATGAGGAACAGACATTTCTCCTGCATATCAACACCTCGTACTATGCCTGAAAACAGCAGTGTGGATGGTGGTTTAACACCCTAAAGCACAACAGTTACTGTATATACCATGAACTTTTAACATTAAAAGAACTCTGCATTCTGCTCACATAGTATACTTATATACAGTCAACTCTCGATTATCCGGGGGCGGATTAACCGGTTTGTGGCTTAACCGGGGCTACTGAGGCTTTTTTGAGGCTTATATTTTGCTTAATATTCATTCACTTTTGTTTCACATGGTGAGTTGTAACACTATTTTTGCGCTAGTGTGAACCGAGCTCTGCATTCTTTGGTCCCGTTATGCTAACACAATGTTCTAGGGTAGGGGTGAAAGAATGCAAGGATTTGTGGAAAGTTTCAAGGACTAATAAACCACCCCAGTTGGTCTCTTTGTATCGATCTTCAAGTGCGTTAGCAAAATATCAGGGTGTAAAAGGAAGTGTGTTGTGTTAAGTATATNAAGGAAAATGCCATGAAAAAGCAAACGACAATATTAATTTTTTTAAGTGTTAAGTGTGAATATTCGTAAAAAGTGTTGAATGTTGTTGAACACTGTGATTGAAATAACTAATTCACACTTCAGTATAATGTAAAAAAAGTATTAAATGGCCATGAGATGACATAAAAATGAGGTTGAGTAAATTTAAATACAGGTAGGCCTATAGTATTATGAGGGTACAGTATTACAGTACTACTTTTAATAACATTTGTCTTAACCAGGTTTTCGATTAATCGTGATTTCCATGCCCACCATTATCCCGGATAATCGAGAGCTGACTGTATTTTGTATGATTTTCACCATAAAATAGTGACTGTTCCTCCTCACAATATTAACTGGTCTTCTTTATAATGGAGATGCAGTAAGAACTAAGTTCTTCAATATTATTAAAATGAATTTATGAATAAAACAAAGCACACTCACCAAACCCCAAACAGGGGCAGACAGGCTGCTGACCCAGAACAGATGGCAGCTGGGGATCATCAGGCACAAGGATATCGCTGCCACTGTACGAGCAGAGGGCTACCAGGTTGCCATTAATGGCACTCAGAATCTGACAAAATGGCAGCTTGGTATGGCACACACACAGCACGACCTTGCAAAATGGGATCCTGCAAGAGAGTCAGCAGCAGGTAAAGATGTAACCTGAAATGCCTGCCAAGGGTGGCATTGGGCCAAAACCACCTCACCACAAAAAAAGAAAAATGTTTCAAAATGTTCTAAAGCATCTATTTCAAATGAGCACAAAGCAGGTAACTTGTAATAATTACAGTTATTAAAGGCATACAAGCGTCTCTCTCTTATTATTGAGTCAAAACATGGAACTAATTTTGATACCTAATTTGAGTTCATGCAAAGTTTTGTATCATGGAATTTTATTTTGTGAAAAAGCAGTATAAATGTTAAATATTTTTACTTCAAAAAAATTATAAGAACCTATGACTGTCAAAGCCTCCACACCTGACCTTACAGGCTAGCCAAATGAGTTAATAATTATGTAACTCACACAGAAACATCCATACTGTACTTCCACTAGCACACAATTAAAATACCTGACACATCAAACATCCATCTTGTGCCTAATTCACAATATTAAAGGAAACAATTTGTAAATACTGTTTAACCTACCATCGTACCAAACGATTTTCACAATATGATTCCCCAAAGAAAACAGAGATTTCAGTTTAATATTAAAAACTGACTTAACAATTCTATATAACCTTCAACAATCTATCAACACTCAACTTCAGTAGTACTGGTCACACTGCAGACATATGAAGATGGAGGAGATTGGCAGCACAACCACTGACAACTGGTCGAAGGTTTGCAGACAAGGAGGATGGGGCAATCTTTTTTGTGGGTTATTTAATGACACTGTCAGTAGCAAAACTGCACCGCTTCATGGCCTAATCAAAGTAATATCTTGGCATCTGCCTGCAGAAAATGAGAAAACACATGAATATCTTTGGCCAGGATGGGCAATATCCTGGCCAAGATTTGAACAAAGCACCTTCTGAATACAAGCCTTACAATGTTACTGCTAGACCAATGTACTTGGTGACACAGTTGTCCTATAAACCTTTTTTCCTCATGAAACAGGAATAACACCACATAAAAGAAACCCGAACACAACTCACATGTATGGCACTGTATCTGCAAGGATGTATTTCGGTGGCTGCACCATGCGACTGAGGTACGACAATATCACCGCCTCTCGTAAGCGTGGCGCCCCCATTCCCCTGCAACATTTCATTATAATACAGCCAAGACACTGAATGTAAAAACAGTCAGTTACCTCAGAGCTGTGGGGATTATGAATCATGACACACACAAGAAATCAAATTTATGAAACACTTTCTAAACCAGAGATTCTCAAATGCAGTCACCATGCCACATGTGGCTACCAGTTATTTTTGTAACCAATAAGTAAATGTTTCCTGAAAACCTTTTCCTAGTCTTGAGACAAATTTTCAACATATCTTCTGTAACTTCAGCTATCTGTATATGGGTGTTGTGGGTCTCTGATACACAGGTGTAACCCTTCACCTTGATTTCTCAGAAAACAAATAGCAGCAAAATGAGGGATCTTCCTCTGGTAGCTGCAGAAGAATATCCAGTGAGCATGTTCCTATTCTGAGAGTTCCTGCTATTGAGTTCAGGCAATCACATTTTCCTGGTACTTACTTTTAAATTCTAAAGTAGTAATAATCTTCTCTATAGAATTTGCATGGCCACAGAACATATAACTAAACTTAAATGCAGCCACGGGAAATTTCTGCTCAAGAACTGCTATTCTAGGCTAGTAACATCATATGACAGCAAAATGGACAATACAAAGAACTGATGAGAAAACACAAATGTCAGCTCAAGTGTTTTATATAACAAACAGTAGGTTATCCTTTCAGGATATCTACTGTGTTTGTCAGTGTCACAATATATAGCAATTTAAACTTTAAAGATGGAATAACACTAAAATTAAGAAATTCTAGTTTAGCTGTGTAATTAAGAATATCGAGAACAAGGATTTGAATCACATCCAAAATCTCTGCCCACAATATTTGCAAATCACTTCAACAGTACTGTACGTACTGGCAAGAGTACAGAGTAAATTTCAGTATACATTTTTGTGTTCTCTATTAGGTCCATGGTAGAAAACAGGAAAGTTATATTTTTATACACATTACTTTATATAAGACACTGCAGAAAATAATCAGAAAAAATGAACTAGAAAGGACATGGACCAAACCTGAAATCAGCCTGGAGGGACTATGGAAAACCATACTGAGAACAGATAGTGTCCCAGCTGAGATTTGAACTAGACACCTTTTAAATACAAGACAGCAGAAATGTTACTGCTTGAGCCAACTTGCTGATTTGGAGGTAACAATTTACCATTTAGGTATAGGAGAATTTAAACAATCCAGTGCCAATGGGCACTCAAAAGCAACCGTGAAAGTGTCAAGAAGTGCAACACTTGTCCAGATGGACTACATTCATGCACAATCACAGAACTGCAATGCAACTGTTCTAGTACCATGGTGCCATTCCCTTCTTGTTCTCTGCCATGGTCCTCATGGTGTGCAGGACATACTTCAAGGGGTCATCAGGGGGCAGCTCACAGAATCTGTTCTGGTAGGAACACACATATGGTGGACTCAGTGGTTCAGGGAAGTTGAACTCAGCGTTGGCGCTCTGAATCTGAACCACATGCTGTGGCTTCAGCATGCGGATCACAGACGTTGTTAAATCCACACCAACTCCTGCAACAAACAACAACACATACTTTTGTCACCTCAGCACTGAATGCAGTTCTGCACAAACTTACATGCCTCAATTTATCCCTTTAAACACAGTGGTAATTATAGGTACCACATGCTTTAACAGTAAAAATATCTGCATTCTGCTCACACAGTGTATTTGCATGTCTTACATGATGCTCCCAACAGACACTGACTACCTCTCCAGACAGCATAAACTGATCTGTCTTTGTAATGTAAGTGCAATGTGTTTTCTGTGACATGGCTGGAACTTCTAAATATTTTTAGAATAAATATCAGGCTTCATTGGATTAAATTAACAATTTGTTAACAGAATAATAAAAAAAAAAATCACTCTCATATCAATACAGTGTGGTTGTATTGGATTTAACTGGATTAAGACATATCATTGGACACTAGCAAACATAGCAATTAACTTTCAGGTTTCATAAATACAGGAAGTTTCGTGAACAACTGAGCTACAGTCAGCTTGTAAGAGATTTACAGTAGCGTGTATTCAGGTTACAATCTCCTGGAATGTGATGCCATATAGCTCAGTGTGTTGGTACCTAACTACCAAACCACATGGCTAGAAACCTTCTCAAGGACTCTGGTCCAGGGTGTTGGCCATGAACTGCAGAAGGCAGAAGAAGAAGAATGCATTACAACCACCACGCTCCTGTTTTTGCTGACTCAGATTGGAGAGGGACTCCCAACAGTGCACACTGAAGATGGAAATCTGTTGTCAAATTTACAGCTCTCCTGTTTTGTATTTGAGACAGAATCTAATACTGACTTAGGCCCTTTGTGGATCTTCTCAGTTCCTCCAGGCAAATAATATCAGGGCAGTAATTCAGATCAGGCCACAACCACTTCAATATCCATTCCAGTCCACTATTCGCTGATCATGGCCGTGCCATAGCTCAAGCGGTTAGTCGCTGGCTTCCCACCGTGGCGGCCTGTGTTTGATCCCGGGTCTGGTCAAGTGGGATTTGTGGTGGACAAAGTGGCGCTGGGGCAGGTTTTCTCCAAGTACTTCGGTTTCCCCTGCCAATCTTCATTCCACCAATTGCTCCACAATCATCCTCACCTATCATCTGGGGCTGGTACAATAGGCCAGAAGTGGTCTCGGTACAAGGGACTTAGTCCCACCTCACTGGCAATAAAATAATAATATTCACAGATCTTCCTACCATTTGACACTATACAGCCTGAGCTACTGACAGTGCCATTCATGCCACCCTGCTGCTAACTTTCCTAATCAGTTCTTAATCTCCTATTTACTAAAAACATGAAATTTAAGATATTTTGAAGACAAAACAAGTAACACAATATTTTTGGAAAAAGAGATTATACTGCTGTGAGCAGTACTGTTCTGACCTTTATTGAACCCCATTGTGTTGACAATCCATGGCATCCTCAATAGTTTGGGTTGGGAGTTGCAGTATGATATGATGTGCTGAACACTGTCTGCATACTGGCTGGGGCACTGTGCGATATTCACTTCCCCCACAAATACCATTCTGTACACAAAAAGAGGGCCATATGCAACAGTAATGAATGTCATTCTACTCTCAACACATCTTCTTTGGTGGCACACTTATCAGCTGGATCAAACATTAATTCTTATGTCTTACATTCTGGTGGTGACCATACAGAATACATACTATCCTGACTGCAGTTTTCATACTTTTCCTCAGTCCCTCCAGGCATATTCAGGGATAGTAACCCAAATTAGGGTGACTGCTTCCCTCCATACGCTCTCCAAATCACTGTTTACTAATCCTTTTGTGGAATACTTTATCAAGTTGTCATAGCTAGACTACATAGCACTGGACGGTAGTGTTACAAATAATGAACTGGACATGATTTGGAAAGTAGTGATGGCCTATGTGAGGCACTGATTTCAACATTTGCCTGGGGGAACTGAGGAAAACAATGAAAAACCACTATAAGAGCCCATTCAATATTATTCACTAATCATCATGCCACTGAACACTATATCTGAACTACTCACAGCATTACTCAATACATAATAAAAAAATCATCAGAGTATTTTTATTTCTGCCCAAGATTCAGTCATATTTCTGTCCACACCTTAAGAGATTGATACTTCAGTGCAATCTCTCTTACATACTGCCCAAAATGGTGTCTACCAATTCACAAGTAACAACCATGAAATATTATATTTGAGGTTCTTACAGGGTTAATATTAAGATCTCAGCCTTCTGGAATGGGTTACCATACAGTTTCTTGGATAAGGTACCCATGTTTTGGAAGAATCTACTGCCTTCATCCTCAGGGTGAAAAGTGACAGCAGGTTACTCTGAAAACATTGGTACCTATTTACGAAACATTGCACCACATCCCAGATGACCATATTTTAAACGCAAAATAAACTAGCAAAAATCACACAACTGTCACTGCTACGTGACATATTTCTAAACATGTAAATACTGTGTACTCGTAAGGCTACTGAAATTCAACCCTAAACTCCATGCGGCAAAATCTGGATGATATGGAAAAGTTCAGTACACAAACAGAAAATAATCTTTCTTGAAGGGTATTCCTGACCTAAGAGAAACACAAAACGAGGACTATACAAGCATACCCGCAGTAATGCAATGGTGAATTAGCAAAGTTAGGAGTGGTCTAACCATCTACAAAAGATTGATGTCACCAGGACAAAAGATACTTTTGCACTATTCTTGCCATTTACAGGTGTGAAGAGGTGACCCAGTAATTTTAAAACTTTACCACCATGTTGCTTGCCATATCAGCATGGCCAACTATGGTTGGCGGTGCTAATGTGGCAAACTGTGCATTTGGGGTTCTGGCAATCCCATTCACTCACACATGGCTCAGAGGAAAACGTCTATATGACAAAAATCAACAACTACATATAGTGAGCATCAAAAATGTTTTAAGTGTTTCTACTCTTAAAAAAATTTACATATTAGTGGGCTCCTGATCGTAGAGGCATACCTCTGATGATGATTCATTATGAATCGAAACATGTTGGGTAACTGAGTGCTAAAGTGGTGGAAGCATTATGTGTCACATTGGACTGAAATAAATTTAATTGTAAACTTGTTAGTGTGACGGACCAGAGTGAAACAAATTAAAAAAAAAATGAGGAAATAAATCTTGCACACGCATGGAGGCATGTCACATGCAGCAAGGCACCACAAAATGCTGATCAACATTTTTCTGTTGACAAAAATATTTGTCTTGCTACCAGATGACATACCACTGTATGACACAAGTGAACTTACTGTTCTGGTGTAGTGAGATGTGTGAAGCTTGGTCCCAGAAGCGGCTGCTTAACAATGACAGCAGACACACAACCTGGGATGGTGAACTCTGGTTGGCCTGGGTCAAAGTCCAAGCACAACACCTCTCGGAACAATGGCAGGCTCTGATTCACCAGGAACCTAACAAAGGTCGACTTGCCAACCCCCTTTCCACCACATACCACAGTACGGGCTGATTCTTCAACACAGAGTAGTAATGTCTCAAATATTGCAACAAGCCAAATCATCAACATTACAATCAAGCAGGCACTATGCTGAAGCCACAGAAAAGATCCCATGGATGGTGGGGCTCAAAGCTTCCTCCTTCCTGCCTGCTGTTTATCTCCCTCCCTCCAGACCCCTCTGGCCTAAGTCAACCAGCCAAAAGTGTTTATTACTACAGACAGTTATAACTACCAACATTTCTCTGAAAAGAATGGCTACATTACAGGAGGGAAATATAGGGAAGCATGCAGCAGATGGTGCAACAGCTGGAGGGAGATGTTGCGGGGGTCAATCCACTTAACTTCTTTCATGGCCTCAGTACAGTGATATTACAAAAAGTTACGGCATGCAACACTCACATGGAGAGAATTTATTTGGAAAAGTAAAAAAAGAAAAGACTACTTTTGAAACCTATATACAGAGAGGAGCACACTNATAAAAAAAAAAAAAAAAAAGGTGCGTGAATATCAAGAAAACTTAGTACCTCAGCAGAGGCCCAAATGTGCTTTCTGAAACATGACATTACCCATAACAGGTTCATCTAGGAGCAACACTCTAGATTTGTACTTAGGAGACACCTGATTTGAATCTCAGCCCAGACACTGGTTGGTTATCCTGAGAATCATGTGGTTTACCTCTGTACCTGTCTGCCTCTGTGGTATAGTGGTTAGAGTTCCTGGCTACAGATCCAGAGGTCCAGGTTCGATTCCCAGAGCTACCAGATTTTTTCTGAGAAGTAGTGGATCTGGAACGGGATCCACTCAGCCTCGTGATGATAACTGAGGAGCTATTTCAAGGAAATAGTGACTCCGGTCTAGAAAACCGAAATTAACGGCTGTGGGGATTCGTTGCGCTGACCACGCAACACCCTCTGTTCACAAAAGTTGGCACTAAACTTCGCCGACAAGTGGTGGTCAGTATAATTCGCTTGTGAACAAAAATCACAGTTTTTACTTCTGTACCTACAGACAAATAAATGCCAGGACATGACTTCCTTTTGCATCCCTCCCAGTTAGTTCATCAACCATCCTACAATTCAATGTTATATAGTATGAGTTACTATCAGCATCATTAATAAACCACATACAAAAAAAATTACAGACCATTTCTTAACTAGCTGAATATTTATCAACTATTCAACGATCCTGTACTATGGAAATAGTTTCAGTATGTCATACTTGACTGTGTCAGATTATTTAAATGATGCTGTGCCAACTGTTAAAGGTAGTTAGCATCACATATGAGGTAACATGATTATGTATGGATAAATGGAAATGACTGAAGTATATTTCTGATCTGTTGTGGGAAATCATAAAAAAGCTGTCACACTGGCTGCTGGGGTTTGTATCAGAAAGGACAGAACCATGCAGTACTATAGAACAGTAGTTGAGTTGTAGCATCTCAAATAAAAATTACACTTCCTCTTGACATGTTTATATAATTCTCAAAAATTAAAGTCATATGAAATTTACAAATATGTTTCTAATGCCCAAAATCACTAGCTACAAGGATGTTCGGTAAAGTTGTCCCTGTCCTTAACTAATTAAGCACTATGCCATTAAGGCAGGATATGAGGGAATGGATGTATAGATCCAAGTTTTTTTAAGCTTGGCACTCACTAGTTACGGGTGAGTGGTCAGCTTCAAGACTCCAGTACCCACTGAATACGAAGGAAACTAGATGGGTCCCATAACTGGTCTGGATGACATAGTGAAGAGAAAATTCTTGCATCTACTAGGACTCAAACTCTGACCCCTCAGTCATCCAGCCCCACAGTCAGTTGCCATACCAACTGCAATATCAGTAATCATCAATAAGAATACACAACACTGTACACAGCTACAATGCTGATAAATGCTGAAAATATTTTAAATATTGCATTCACATCCAAGGCTAAGAAATGGCTCAAATTAGGATCCAATGGGGCAGGATCTTGATTATGCTGGTCAGTTTTTAGTTTCAATGAAAACTATGAACTGTTCGATGAAGAACCTGGTCCTTTTACCTACCTCTGTTGATATAATTTGTAATTTCTTCCCAGTCAGGCCCTTTCTGATGCCTTTTCAAGTTTTCAGCAGTGTTCGATAATTCAAACACACACCGAAACATCTCCTCAACTTTGTAGAATGGACTAGACTCTCTTACTCTGGCATACCTTTCTTTCAACTCGGTAAACGTAAATAAGTGCATAAAGGGTCCTAGAGTCTTCAAGTAGCCTTCCAGAGGACTAAGCCGTGGTTTCTCCAGTAAAACTACGCAGTCTTTATGTCGCATTTCTGAAATTATTTCCTCTGAAAGCTCTAAACCAAGGTCAACGACGTTTACAAACACGACTTCATCATCGGGTTTATTGGCAGGTGACGGGAAGCAGGTTTCAATGCTCAGCATGCTGGATCCTTTCGGGGAATACACAGTCTGCCGGGTGTTTGTGCGTACACTCATGGTGCAACCCAGAATTTCAACACTCCCCTTCAGTAAACAGATGCACAGTATACCTTTGAAGTATACAGTGTTCGGATGATTCATCAACAATAAAAATTGTTCCCTGCGTGGTAACTTGTGAACCAAAACATACGGCCAACTTCCATCTTCTACTTTCCAATTTCCATTCACACAGCAGACTTGACTTTCGGTAAAGTGTTGATTCGATCTTTTCAAACATAACTCCATTGTTATCCTCTAGGTATTCCACAAGACGACTTAACCTATATAGCTCACAACTCGTATAAGTTCATATACCTGTTCATCAAACATCATTACATACTGCTGCATTCCTCTCCATACTTGCAGCGCATGCAGTACTTACAGTTCATTATTATTATTACGCTACAGTTTATTTAATGGTCCGTAGTCAATAACCGGCAGTATGGATTTTACTAACTACAACAATTGCCTGTGCCTACCGTGCCTACACTGAATTCATGCCACGGATCATAGATCACGCGAAGACAATATCTGTTATTTCTTATATTCTACCACAATCTGTTGAGGGACCCAGTATTATCATGTAATGTATGACGAAATATAGCAAACAAAAACACGAGTTTCAAGGTTCCCTCGGCGGTGACTTTGAAAAGAACTCTTTTCGGGGATGTGACGCCGTGTAGTTCTGTAAAAATTTCCTAGCGTTTTAAAGGAAAGCATTCCCTATGTTTTCAGGGTCGAAGGCTAACCTGAGCAAATAACGCTTCAATACATTCATCCCTAAAATTAGTAATCTTGTACCATACTATGCGGCGTTACAGCTCAGTCGATCGCGATTTTCATTTGTAGTGATCCGTGTTTTGTAGTCATGTGCGTGTAATACCCAAATTCGTTTCCTGCGTACGAAGAACCATAGATCCCACCCCAATACCTTACACCGAAAACCCGTTGCGCAGAACACAGGTAATAAATGAATACTGTGCACACATGCGCCGTCTTGTTACGTCGAAGACCTATAAGGCCATCCTGTACCTCTCGTCATTTTTGGTTAGATATTGTGAATATTTTCATACACTGTTAAAACTTGTTCATGTCAGTTTACGTTTGCTACTTATTCGAATTACAGACATTTGCTTTAGAGGAGGTTAAATCCAGCTACCATCTAAAAACTTTCGTTTCAATTGACTCGTTTTATCCGACCGATTCATTATCCAATTTATTAATTTTAGTAGCTACCTTACATTTTACAAATAAAAACTACTAGCTACACCATACTGATCGTTCTCCGTACTGAAACGTTAGAAACACTGCAGTGAAGCCTCTGACATGTTACTTTGTACTGATGGAAAATTACATCAAATGAGGGTTATGTCTAAACTTAAATGTTATGGATGTCAGAAAGGAGCTAGCTGCGTAACACTACGATTTCTGTACTTAGTAGCATAACATGCCTTTTTGTGGCCATTGTTAAAATAATTTAAACACAATATTTCTGTAAAGAGCGGATTTCCTGGTAAAAGGTTTCAGTAGTAATTAGAATTGGATACGAATTTGGCAACATTGTTGAAATACCGACGCTTAAAAGTAGTACCGGATATTACTTCTCGGTGTAAATAGTGTCCATGAATTGGTTTATATTGATATAAATATCTTTTTATATGTCTTGTATACTAAGTAATGTACTGTAATAAGAGTACATGAAATCGTAATATAGGAGTTTTCTGATTTGTTTCATAGTGTGTGTTGCGGATCGATACAATGCGTACATACACACTTCGCCATTGGTGGAGTAGCCGTTAATTCTGGGTTTGTGTCGATTGATGATTGGAATTAGAAGGGGTGAAAGGCAACAAAGGCAGAGGATTACAGTGAAAATACGCAACATGAAGAGGAGTTCTGACCGAGACACACCTCCACGAAGCAAGAGATCTCGCTCGAGTATTGGAAGGTACGATGATAGTTCAGATGAAAGAATTACTCCTGAGCGGATTCGAAGACGTAGTCGAGGCAGATCGCCAAGCCCAAGGGGTCGATACCCCTCTGAGAGTTCCCACAGAGACGACTATGGACGCTCAAGGGAAGTGTCTGAACGATCGTATCCAAGTTACAAAGTGTTATGTGTAAGTGCTTTGCATCCCAAAGCCAGCGATGAGGTTATCAAGGATACGTTGTATAGGGAATACAAAAAGTTTGGAGATCTCAGTGTTAGAATTTCTCACGACCTTGATGAGAGGGTTGCATATGTTTGTTTCAGAAATTCAGAGGATGCTCGCGATGCAAAACACAACAAACCTAGAATAATCTTGTTTGATAAAGTAGCTTTAGTTGAAGCTGTATATGAAAGTAGCAGGAGTTCAAGTGATTTGTATCGCAGAGGACCTAGTAGGCCAAGGAGTATGAGTCCAGATTATGATAGATACTACCATCAGCGCTCGAGGTCACCAGGACCAGAAAGACATAGACCAAGTGAGAGTCGTTACGAACGTTCATATGGACCTCCTCCAGGCCTTCCGCACCGTGAGTTTCGTAGAGAAGGACCACCTCCACCTCATCATGAATTCATGAGAGCTCCTGTTCATCATGGTCCACCTCATGTTCCCCCAGGACCCCCCCATCATTATGGTCCCCCAAGACATATTGTTCCTGGGGGTTTCAAACCTCATCCTCATTTTGAAAAATTTGATAACAAGAAAGATAAATTTCCAAATTACCTACACCATGTACCTCCAGAAGATGATCCATTGGCAACTAGGACTTTGTTTGCTGGTAATTTGGAAATCAATATATCAGAAGAAGAGCTTCGTAGAATTTTTGGCCGGTATGGTATAGTAGAAGATATTGATATAAAGCGCCCACCACCAGGAACAGGAAATGCGTATGCATTTGTAAGATTTCAGAATTTAGACATGGCTCATCGTTCAAAAGTTGAACTTTCAGGGCAATATATTGGAAAATTTCAGTGCAAAATTGGATATGGGAAAGCAACACCCACTACAAGAATTTGGATTGGTGGGCTTGGACCATGGACATCAATATCTCAGTTAGAAAGAGAATTCGATAGATTTGGGGCTATAAAGAAAATTGACTATGTAAAAGGAGACAGTTGTGCATATATCTTGTATGATTCTATTGATGCTGCACAAGCTGCAGTTAAAGAAATGCGTGGGTTCCCACTTGGCGGTCCAGAACACAGGCTTCGTGCTGACTTTGCAGATGTATTGCCAGGAGGTTTCAGCGGTTTCAAGCCGCGGCCTTTTCCTGAAGACATGGCAGGAGTTGGTGACTTTCGGGTTAGGGTACCAGGTCGTGATGACTTTGCTTATGAACCAGGCTATGAGCCATGGACGGAAGGGGAATTCTCTTATGGTCCACCAAGGGGAGGTTTCCGAGGCCGGGGGGGTGCCATACCGTGGCATGATCGTAGAGGTGGCGGACGAGGGGGGTACCGTGGAGGTGGATACCCTGGGGATGCATACATGAGGGAGGAACCAGAGTGGGTGACCAGGAGGCCTCCACCAGAATTGGAGTATGAGATTCCTCGCCCTCCAAGAAGATCTGGTTCAGGAGAACCTGGAGTGGAGAGATCAAGATCACGGTCCCCTCGCAGGCACTCTGTTGAAAGTGACTCTGGTTCAGATGGGCGACGTAATGGAATGCTTGGTTCTGCACGCACTCTGCCAGAACTAGCAAGGAAGTGTGTGGCAGTCTGGCAGGGTGCCCTCATACTGAAAAATTCTCTCTTCCCTGCAAAGTTCCATCTTACAGACGGCGATACAGATATCGTGGAAGGGCTTATGAAGGATGATGAAGGCAAACATCATTTACGCATCACACAGAGACTTCGACTTGACCAACCAAAACTGGAAGATGTTTCAAAACGTATTTCTTCTTCCAGTTCTCATGCAATATTCCTTGGGTTGTCAGGCTCGACAGCATCAGTTTCCAATGAGGATGCTTCTGTTCAGACACGCCCTCTCAGGAACCTGGTATCATATCTGAAGCAGAAGGAAGCAGCTGGTGTTATATCGCTAGTGAATAAGGATACAGAAGCGACTGGAGTTCTGTATGCATTCCCACCATGCTCATTTTCCACAGATCTCTTGAAACGAACTGCACCCAATCTTTCTGAGGAAGGCTTGAAGGAGGATCACTTGGTTATTGTAGTAGTGCGTGGCGGGAGTGCCTGAACATAGATGCACTGCAGATTACATGTGAGACTACTTCTCAATTGAAATCATTGCTGTAGGCATGTTAAAGCAATGTTCATGTAGATGTAGGTTTATAGCTGTGCTTATGTAGGTGAAATATCACAGCAGATATGTTTCATGTACCTGCAAGTGGATTGGTGCAGGATTTATTGTTAAATGTAACATTTTTAAGTATATAATTGTGTTCATGCAAACAGTGAAAAGGGAGGATACTAGATTAATGGCATACTGTAAAGGTTCCTTCATTGTTTTTTTGTATCTTTTTTTTTACTTTCATTAAGTACACAAATGTATAACAATTTTTTTTTGGCTTTACAACTTGCTTCAGTGTTTTTATACCATTATATGATTGGTGATTGTGACACGTTATCACTTTGCTGTGAAGACTCAGAAGTGTGTGTAAGGTGATGCGAAACTGATCGCACATTTATAGTGTTCTTAATTGATCATACATGACTTGAAACAATTTAAAGCACCTGTTTTCCTAGTAGTATCTCTACTAGTAGTCTGCAGTTTCTCAGTCCCATTGTTAACACTACAATTTTGAATTAAATCATGGCAGTATAGTAAATGTGATTAAAAAATTCTTAAAAAAATCTGCGAGAAATGCTCTGTGGTGATGTGCTGGTTCAAGTTATGGTATGGTTTTAGTTGTAAGGTGCCCCCCACTGCACGGCCTGTGGACTAACTCGGAGACTGTGTTGTGAGTGTTGCAATGTGTCAGAATCGGACAGACAGTGATTCAGTAGCAAGTGGTGAAAGTGCAGTGGGATGGGACGGTTAGTTGTGTTTGTGTAAGTGTTGTAAAAGCAAGTTTTGTAAGTGCACAGTGTAATAGTGTTGTGTTCGCGCCATGTCCTGAAGGGTTAAAGATTATTTTTTTTTGTATGACAAGTGTTCATTATATTCTGTTGATTTCATTGTTCTTTAACCCAGGACATCTGTGTGCGGTGTGTGTGGAATTGTGTCAAATAGAGAACTTCTTGCAGACAACTTGAAATCTAATTATTTACCCCAGTGCCACATTGTTACGTGATGGGAAGTTAGAAACCGATTGTGTTGTCAAGACAATTTGAGTGTTTCTGAACTAACATTTTGGATCAAATCGTAATTGTGTTTGTGTAGAGTGAATAGTGCAGTCACATTGAATCCAAAATGTTATGACACTATTGTGCTTTTGTTTTTAAACGTTGCACACTGCACAGTGAAAATTCAGTTATCTCTGGCTTTATGAAAATTACATCAAGGTAACCAAAAAGAAACATTTAGTAGTTTTTCAAAATTCAGTTTCCAGTGTTAATATTAAATTTGTAAACATGGGGCAAGACGTGCTTCCCATTATGAACAGGAAGCAAGACAGATGAATTCAGTTTTGCTATTGTGTTACTCAAGAAGCATTTTGTGTATTGTGAAGGCTGTTGTCAAAGTGGCCACTTAAGAGATTAACAGCCACCCTGAAGAGATGGATGGCTGGCACTTGGCCTTGTATGGAACTCTTATTCAAAACTGATTGGTTTTGGTGGCTAAAACTAATTTCTGCCATTTGAAATTCATAAGTTAAAATATGCTGATCTAATTTGTTAAAACTGTCTGGAGGTGATCTGCAACTATCTATCACTGTGCTGGGGGAGGGTCTGTTGTTGCTCTTAGCGTGGGCTGCATATGTCGTCATTGTCTGGTGCTTAATTAATTAAGCCTAGGAATAACTTACTGTGTTTGTATTACACATAAACAAAAAAAAAATATTGGGAAATATGGAAAGCAAACATCTAGAAAACAAGCATGTAATTGGCAGAATGGAGGTTATTGGAGAGGGCTAACCTGTAATGGTATTTGTTGGGTGGACTAGCCCCAGGTAAATTTAAACACAGGTCTCGTGCATTTAGGTTGTGCCCTGGTAAGCAGTACAAATTTTAGCAGTGAGAAGATGGAAGTGCCTCAGTGACAGGTGAATGTGCCACACTGAAAGGTAGGTATCCAGTATCTAAGTGAGGTATCCAGTGTGACAGCAGCTGTTTCAGTTTTGGTAAACAGTTTAAATCAATTCTAATTTTCTGGCTATTTTTGTGCTTCGTTGTGAGGCCATGGCTATAGCTGTGAAGAGACTTTAATTAAAGATTGCTTCTCCTAGCACAGTTGTCAATTACTTTATCCCCATCATCTGGCAGATGCCCCCAGTGCTTGGTTTAGGACAAGGGTCTCCAAACTATGGCCTGTGGGCCACATCTGGCCTGCGAAAGAATTGTGCAGAAATGCGCCAATTGAACTAATTTTCCAGTGAATACTGGTAAATGTGATTCCGAGCTTATTGACCTGACATATTATACTGCAGTTCGATGGCTTTGCTGTGGAAAGGTTCTTTTGTGCTTCTTTCAGCTCAGGAATGAAATTGATATATTTCTTACTGAGGAAAACCATCACAAACAACTTTTATCAGATACCCGAGTGGCTTTGGAAATTAGAATTTTTTGCTGATCTGGTGAACCATATGAATTTAAAGTTGCAGGGTGAAAATAACTTAGTCTGTGATTTATTTGCACTTATCAAGGCATTCAGAGCAAAGTTGATACTTCTGGAAAGCCAAGTGAAAAATTGTAACTTTGTTCATATGCTATACTGTGCAGAGTTGTATAAAAAGGGTGAAGCAGAATTTCCTTCCTCGTTTGCAAATTTAGTCACTTCAGATTTGAAAGAACAATTTCGGAAGCGATTTGCTGATTTGGATGCCAGTGCTCGGGAAATTAGATTGTTTCAAAATCTGTTTGACTGTGATGCTGCAGATGTCCCAAGTCAAATTCAAATGGATATTACTGAACTTCAGGAAGATTATCATATTAAAGACAAATACAAGGAAGAATTTGAGCAGTTTCCAAATTTAAAGAAATTTGCTTGTAAATTTATCTCCATTTTTGGGACGACATATCTCTGTGAACAAAATTTTCCCAGATGAAGTACATCAAGTCGAAATACAGGGCAAATTTATCCGATGAACATTTAAAGTCGCTACTTGTGATTAGTGTTTCAAAATTTCAACCTCAATTTAATCAGATTTTAAGAAAGCAAAAAGAGTTCCATCATTCACATTAATTGTTTTATTATAATTTGTGATGAAAATATGAGCATTTGCTGCTACTGTCTGTTGTCATTAATATACGATAATTTGTTCTCACGTACTTTGTATTTAATTTATGAAATTCTGTGCTTTCAATAAAACTCATATACCTAGAGTTATTAATTTCTCATTTTATCCGGCCTGTTGAAAGTGCTGAATTACCTAATGTGGCCCTCGGTTCGAAAAGTTTGGAGACCCCTGGTTTAGGAGAAGAAGGAACACACTATATAAATTTGTGTTAATAGAAGTTTATTGAGGGACATTCTTTGAAGCCCATGATGTGGCAGGCTTTCTGGTTTAACTAGAGGGTCTGAAAGAGTGTGACCTGCTATTTCATATGCAGCTGGCCACATGCTGCTGCATTAATATGGTGCATCAGAGTGGTGATGGCACAGAAATGAAACCTGCCACAAGAAATGCATGCATAGTAAGTCCTTGTCTCCGTGCTGAGAAATCAGCATACACAGTCCCTCGTACATTTCTGTTGACATAGAAGTACATGCCTCTCCTCAGATTTGCTGCTGGGCCTAGAATGCTCTCAGGGACACCCCCAGACACTTAACGAAGGTGTAATGTGTGTGGGGCTCTGTCTCCAGGAACAAAGATGCTGAATGTAACTGGTAATCTGACTGTACCGTGGTCTTGGAAAGAAGTTCCCTTGATGGCTGAGGTGACACCTGACGTATTCCACCGCAGCCCTGTCTGGCCTCAGTGAACCAGTCCAAAGCGCATGTAGTTACTGGCCACTGCCAACACTGCTGTGAACAGAATGGCCAAACAAGTAGAGGGAGTGTAACTGATGGAATTGTGGAAGGGGTTGTTAATTGGTGAGACCAGTCTGCATCCTTCAGGCCACTTCCTCTTGAAGTATTTATATCCTTATATAAAATAACCAAATGTCTGTGCCCTCTCAATGTACCAAAAAGAAATGGATGTTTCTCTGTGAGAGAAAACTCTGGGAACATTGTTAATTTTGCTATTGCAGGTATGGGTATATTTTATACCAACTAAACCTAGATGTTAAAATTGACAACCCACCACAGATGTAAGAGAGAACAGCCAGGCGTACAAAATTTACTCCATACTCTTTTTGCTGTTCTGTATGGCAGCCATGGTTGTTGAAGCAGTGCCAGCAAGTATTTTGTCAGAGAATTTGGATGTGATTTGAGCCCTCATTTCAAATGGATGAAGTTTACTACATATTGTGACTGCCAAAGAAAGCAACTGTGCTTGGGCAAAGAGCAGGTACTTTTGATTACTTTACCACAGTCTTTTGAGGAATCAAAGAAGTGTAATTTTGTCACTGTACTGTTTCCAAGTTACAAAACAAATCGCTGCTGTGTGTGGTATTGACACTGCACACTTATGTACTGTCTCCAAAGCACATCTGAGGTGAGGGTCATCATATAGTGACACATCATTACATCATCATTAGACAGTACTAGGTTCTATTTTGAACATACAATGGGAATCATGATTGCCATATCAGAGATCTTGAACACAAAGGGCATTTCATCCTTAATGTTGCCTATTTAAAGTATGATGTACCCTCAGAGATTATTTGTATGGCCAAATAATTCAAACACACATGTACATTATCAAATAACTCGAAAAGGTGACACAACTGATTACACCAAATATAATGAACTAGTTAGTATCTGCAGTTCACATAAGACATTTTCATCCATAATGGATCAATACACTGAGATCGGCTAATCACAAGGCTCATTACCACAGGACAATGCATGGACACATCCATACCCCAAACTATTTGAATCCTTGAAGAAAGCAGTCTTCTGGGATTTTGTACCGTGTATATGTGGTGTTAACTGACGTTCCTCTGGAACGTCGGTTAACACCACATATACACGGTGCCAAATCCCAGAAGACTGCTTTCTTCATAGTCACCGCCGTGAAAGCCTCAAATCTTACATATTTGAATCCTTGATCCCATGGTGGGTGGAGGCTGAGAACTTTGTACACCAGACATCACATATCCAATGGAGTTTCGTGAAAAACATCCAAGAAGTGTGTGCATCTGTATGGATACAGTGTAGCCACACAAGACATGTGACCCAGTCCAGAAACTTTGGATTTTATCAGAATTTTGCTGCAGGAATAAATTGCAGAGAAGGTTTTATAAGTTATATTTAAAGTTTTCTGTATATTGTTTTGAGAGGGCAGTTGAGCCAGTTACTACTAAATTCTGTAATATTATGTCAGTTTGAATATGCCAGTGACTAAATGACCACAACTAACAGGAGTAGCATAAAGCTGCCATATTTGATTCACACTGAAAACTCTTCTTGTCTACTACGTTTGTTTACAACTTTTCACCTTTCTACACAGGATGGAGGGGTTTCCTTGCTTTACGGGTCAAAATATAAAGATGGAAATAAAACATTTCAAGATGTAGCTTCTTAATATATTTCAGCATGACCATTAAAGGCACAACATAAATCCAGAAATGATAAGTTTAATTACTTTGTAGTTTGAAAGTCTTAGAAAGAATATCTCTGTAATAAATTTTCAAATATCTAAGAAATATCAAGTTTGTACTTTGCAATTCTGGATTCACAAGACCCTATGAAATTTCACACAGGCAGACTGTATCAAGTCACATTCTTCCTCGCAAGCAATCACAAATATAATTTAACAATCATAATCACTCACAACCATCACGCTTGTTTTGGCAGTTATGGAAATTGTGTAAGTACTTTCACCTTCTGAAAGAAATGAACACATGCATTAGAGCAGTCTTCGACTCCGTATGTTTCGCAGGTCTGATGGCTGGTAATACAGCTGTGGGTCTCCATACACAGGATCTATGGAGGGACTCAGGCCTGGGGACTGAACTGAAGGCTGAGATCTGAAGCTTCTGCTTGGTTGATACATCACTTGTGATCCTGCGAAGGCTTCTGCCAGAGGAGATGCTGAGAGGAAATGAAAATATGATGCATAAATTACATTGCGCCACCAATGATTTCTTTGTGAACGCTCCCACAGATATCTCATCACAGGTGTTTGTTTTCATGTTGAGTACTATATATGAAAACACTGGTCTCATAAGTACTACACAATTAAAACACAAGTAATCTCTCTCTGTACATAAAGAAAGGTGTGTGTGTTCAGTTTTTACATATTTCCACACTGACATCTATCTTGACTAAACATGGCATGATGCCAGAGGACCTCCCTTGGAAGGTTTTAGACACCTGAAAGTGTGCATGAGTCAAATGGAAGGCATTTTATTTCCCATTACTTCCTCTGTAAGAAGGGCACTTCAACTAGGGATTATACATCTGTCCCCCACTGTTCTTTTTAGATTGGAGTGAAGACAAAAAAGATGTTCATCTTAGAGAAAGAAACCCATGGAAAACTTAATTTCACTGCTATGTGCATAGGTCTGAGTCCAAGCCAACATATTTCCCATTATGTCCTTGTAAAAAAAATCTTTTGCTATGATCCATTAAGGTGCTAAGTGCTTTGGTTCATGTTTGTAATGCAGCATAAGAATGTGTGAGAAGAGATTATTTAATGTAGTCCCAATGCCAAGTTTTTCCACTAAGAAACCAAATGCATGATGACCACATCTGAATTAACAATGAATACTGTAACTACATGCTGCTGTTCCTTTCCTAATGCTCTAGCTACTGTATGTTATGATAAAGGTAAAGAAAACCATATCCTGGGTGAAGAATGGGTATTTTGTTAGTATTAAATATTCATCTCATCAAATTTAAAAGCCTCTTTCTTTTCATTTGGTTAATCCAATGGGTTATCCTGTTGTGGAGGAGGGCTTGGTACCCAATAAACCAGGGAAGCTATGACAAACCTAAAGGGGTAGATGGAACTTGTCAGCTGTGGTCAAAGCGATCAGTGTAGGGCTAGACAAGTTGAAATTGTCCCTAGTGCTCCAGACTGGCGTTGAAGTATTGGAGTCATTGTAAACCCAAAATGGGGGAAAATTTGTAACATACTGGGAATTAACATACATAAGATTACAGAGAATAAACATAACAACAACACATGGATATAAGGGGCAGTTTTTAGGAATATACGCTCCAAATGAGGATGAAGATGCTTTGACAAAAGATGAATTTTGGAGTTATCATAAAACTAGGTAGGAAGTAAGAATTGATGGGAGATTTAAATTGAAGATCAAGGAGGGGGAGTGATGACCCAATTGTGGAAACTTTGGTGATGAGCCAACAAATGACACTGACGAAATACAGGTGATGCAACAATAACACCATATATATACGAAGGGGGACCCAAAAATAACCGGAAACGACCTGTTGCACGCGCATGCTTTGTAATTACGAGTTGTGCTGCTAGGTGGTGTTAGCTGGGGGTATCCCGCGACTGTTAGTGAGCTGGCGTCAGTCTGAGTTAAGCGGTTTGTCTGTGGTGCTCTGTTGTGTGCGTTCCTGTTTCAACCCTTTGGCGATTAGTGAGATGGCCGACCGGAAGGAACAAAGAGTGTATGTAAAATTTTGCTTTCTGTTAGGGAAAACTGCACTTCACTCTTCAAGTCGCGGCAAACATTCACGCGGTTTTCTCTTTGGTCATCTCCGAGCAAGCGAGGAACAAATTTTGCAGACACCCGTCTCATGTGCAAACCTTCGGTTAAAATTCGCTGGACCGTGCTCCATGAGATGTTCGTTTCCTCAGAAAGTTGGTCAATGGTCTTTCGACGATCTTCATCAATTGCACGTTTGATTTTGGCAATGTTTTCGTCATTTCTTCCTGTCGAAGGACGCCCGGGGCATGGCATGTCTTCTGTTGACATGTTGCCAGATTTGAAACGGGAAAACCACTCGTAGACCTGTGATTTCCCCAAAGCATCATCATTAAAGGCTTGCCGAAGCATCCCAACAGTCTCGGCTGCAGTTTTCCCTAACAGAAAGCAAAATTTCACGCACACTCTTTGTTCCTTCTGGTCGGCCATCTCACTAATCGCCAAAGGGTTGAAACAGGAACGCACACAACAGAGCACCACAGACAAACCACTTAACTCAGACTGACGCCAGCTCACTAACAGTCGCGGGAGACCCCCAGCTAACACCACCTAGCAGCACAACTCGTAACTACAAAGCATGCGCACGCAACAGGTCGTTTCCGGTTATTTTTGGGTCCCCCGTCTTATATGAACAAAGACTTGGAAAACAAAGATTTCAAAATGTAGCAAAAATACACATTCACATGAACCAGCTAAAGGAACACCAAGATAAACAGAATGAAAACCAGAAGTCTGGACAGAGCTATGAAACAGAGGGAAATAATAATAATAATAAAAGTACAAAGTTATATCTGAAATGGTTATGCACAAAAGATCAAAATGGCAGAATACAGATGAAAGGAGTACAAAAATAGTATTCAAAAAGGTTAGTATAAAAGCAAGACATGTTATGATATACAAGCAGAGTTCAAACCCCTGCCCCCAATATTAAAACTCATATAAGTGTAAACCACTGGGGAAAATACTCTGCTCTATTATAAGAAGACTGGAAGGAACTTTTAAAAGACCCAGCATCACAAATGAGAGACACTGAGGCTTCCACATTTTCTCTAGATAATCAGCTCACAGATGGTAATAACATGAGCCGGTTGCCCTTTACCCCCCAGGAAGATTCCTGATACTCATTTCTATTAGAGGCCGAGTTGACCCCAGGGCCACAATGCGGCTGGAAAGATTACGTAAATTGAAAACATCCACTTCATTGGGACCCAAACCCGCAACCTTCCAGCTTGTAGCACAGTGCTTCAAATCAATGACGCTACCACGTGCCCCTTAGCACTATTATATGGAAGTGTATTCACAAAGTCTGTACCATCTGTTGGCCAAAACTTAATCCTGACTGGCAGTGGAACACTAGCTTCTGAAAGCTGTCAACATACAAACTATCAGTATACTAACTATAAATGTCAGGCTACACATGAGAGCACCTAAGTGACAAAGTGACTACTTACTGGGTGGCATCATCCCAGCAGAAGGTCGTAGTGATGGCACAGACTGTGGTGGGGCAGGTTGAAGCAAGGGGTGCATGTAGCGGACATAAGCTGGAAACAAATCAGACAATCATAAGTTGTAATTTCTACTTTGCTGAAACAAATTCTTGACCCCAGAAAGAAGAATTCAATAAGTTTTTACACATTATATGATTTTCATACAAAACAACTCCTGAAGAGTACTTTCTGGGATATAACACCATGCATTCTGTTCAAAGTCAACTGACATTTCAGAGGAACATGTCGCCTCTATCTTCAGGGTTGGATAAGTTCAGCAAGATACCAGTGTGTAAGCAGGTGGCAAGCAGACGGACTACATGGTGTTATACCCTACAAGACAGTACTCTTCACAGTCACTGCCTTGAGGACCTCAGATCCTAGAAAACAACTCCCATTTAACAAGAGTAAAACAATGGTGCTTTTGTAATTTCACTGTGGGTCTACCCTGAAAAACTCATTTTCCACATTACTAAGGTCATGACTGCATGACCTATCACATGTAAGAAGATTCCAATACATGGGCGCCATATGCTATAGTCGCTTCTACCGGCATAAAAGCCAGGCCAACACGTAGCGGTTGCAGAATCTTACCACAAATACAGAATTTTACCTTCATGTCTTAATCTTTATTGTTATATTGTTATTGTTATTATATTGTTATATCTTTATTTTTCAATTTTATTCTAAGGAGTTTCAGTTTTGAAAATTTTGACCAGATCTTAATACGTACATGTACATGCATTTCAATAATTCCAAGATACAATAAGGATCCTTATTTGAAGACTTACATGATAATTAATTGCAATTCATCAGCTCATACTGGAACATTGTACACCTGATGATGACCCAGTGTAAGGGTCAAAACATGTTGCATCTATAAAGGCAAATGTCGATACAGTGTGTTTTCTTTGTTTTAAATACAGAATATTGTGTAGACCTGTTACCTCATATACTTTTGTATATCTTATTTATGACACACAACAGGATGCACACTATTAAGATCATCCTAGAAATAGGAGATGCTGTCTCATACTACAGAAAAGTATAGTTATGCCATACGGGAATGAGACTGTGTTGTACACTTGTTATATTATCATTAGAAAGATACTAGTTCCTACTTTCAACACATATCCAGTATATTCAGACATACATACACAGGACTTTCCTTCTGTCAGGTTATCAACACCAAATATGACATACCCTGATTTGTGTAGCAGATGGAAATTAATCACTGGCATACTATGGCGCCTCTCTGGGTTACGTGACCTACTCATACAATTAAAGTGAGAACTGAGGTCTGTATGGAGTGACTATATAAAGAGCAGCATCTTCTGGGATGCTATGCCATATAGTGTAATTAAGTTCACAGACGTTACAGAGGAATGCACTGCCTCCACCTTCAGGGTTGAAGAGTAAGGCAAGCAAGCAGCAAGTACAATTTTACTCTTCTCACTGGCATGGCTTACTGCTGAACTAATGAAGGCAGTGCTTTCTGTCAAAATGTCAATAAACACCATAAGCTAGTACTCTAGAAAGTTAAGATAGCTTAACCCTGCAGGGAAGGTTAGTTATATTTAAGCATTTATTTTAACTATTCCAATCAGATTCCATACAGGTATTTTAAAAAGAGTAAATAGTTAGCAAATGGAAGAAGAGCTGCAGCTAGGTTTATATATATACAGTATACTTCCAAATATCTGTGTGCAGATTATCCAGTTTTCATTTTATCTGCATGACATTTTAGGCACATTTGCAACCTTCCAGGGGGCCTGCTGAGTTTACTCAGTCCTTACGGTCTGTCTGTACATAGGATCAGAGAATCAATGGACAGATTTTCATGAAATTTTGTATTGGCGCATTTAACGAAAACTGATGAACTATTTCTAGTCTCATTTAGGTTGGAAAACATTAATGACCATTGTACACTAAGGCCGCATTTGTTTCTTTGCATATCCTGACTGTAGTACCTAAAAATTTATTGGTGCGAGAAGTGTTGCAAACAAAAGTTGTAGAGAAAATTTAAACATCAATTTTATGTTTCATACGCTTCTTCTGCAAGTGTTATGGCCCTGAGATAATTAAGCATGACTAACGTCATCTTCATGTAAATCATCAAGGGAAAATATTACCTGGAATGCCAGTACAAAATGACAAAATGAAGGTACATGAACCTAACAGATGTCACTAGGGAAAATGACAAAAATTACGTGCTTTGTAAAGATTACTGTCTTCTGCAATGAAATGTACATAATCAAATAGAAAGTAACCAACATTTCAGAGGAACCTGCTACTGAATGGTAAGGTAAATTTTATTCATATTTGGTATCCAAGAGTTCATCCATCATAGGTTGGCATGTAGTGAATATGAACATTCTGGCTCTAAAAATAAGGGCTCTTCAGGTGGGGCCCAAAACATAATGGCAATTTTCTATGGCTTTGTTTTAATTACATTTCAGTAATATATGAGACCACATTTCTAAATAAAACTACACGGGGTGTATATAGGAAAACAACAGTACACACATTAGGGGCCCAAAGGCAAACTGTCGATTCTGTTGAAACCTGCTTTACTGATCACACTCGATTTCATTGCCAAGATAATATAGTTATGGCCTATACAAGAAAGTATGTGCACCATTTTCATTTTTTGGTCGTAGGAGTTGGCAAGACTGAATCTTGGTACCACAGCCTACTGTACCAGACCTTGATGACTGATGAGCTTGGAGCACTGGTGGAATGATAACTGGCAATTACCACTTTCTTGTTGATCTGTCTTACACACATTCTAGCTATGGCTGAGGATGATCCCCCAGTGATCAAGAAATTCTGTTTTTATGGAACCTGTTAATAATCACGAAAGTCAGCAACTGGGACCCGTCCCAAATTATTTTAATCTGGTCTTCATTATCTATAATATATATATATATATATATCCTAACATGTGTATTAAACCCCTTAAGGTCAAACCCCCCTGGAAGAAAAGCATGTAAAGTATTATTACCATAAAATGTAACGAAGAAGATAACGATGAGAGATCCTATGATTGTAAATGTGTCACGATAGTAGTAAACGGTGTCACTGACAGGCATGCCAACTTTTGACATTATGCAAGGTCCATGACCCCATGCGGATCCTCCAACCAGACGTACCTTAACTGGGACCTGTAATGATATAGAACACTTTGTTTTTCGTACATACAAGCTCCAGCTTCACACACCAGGAATGTATATAAACCTGAATGACTACTTTGCGATGTTTATTCATTACACTTAAAAACCTCTCAGAGCACAGTAAGAAATTATGTTAAGTTGTATGCCATTATCATCACCATATAAAAAAAAATGTCTCAAGACAAAGTACAACTGGTTACTCTCCTTCATGGCAGATGCCCACTTTTCTCCATTACCTTTTGCTTCAATCTCTTCACTTTTAATTCCCATAAATCATTCTCTGCATCTTCCAGCCATCTCAATCTGGGCCTTCCCACTTTTCTACCACCTTGTGGCTTGCTTTAAAAATTTTTCTTAGCCTACTTTGCCTGATCCATTCTAATCATATCACCCAACTGCTCCAACCTCTCCTTTCATATACCAGCTACCAGATCAGCAGTTTTATGTAATTCCCTCATTTTTCGGTCAGTTCTGATTCTCCATACCATACATTTTCCTCTCCAAAATGTTTAACATAAATTTATCCTTTACAGTAACACAGTATGTTTCACACCTACATTCATGTATCACATCTGGTTTTAACATTCTCCTGTATATTTTAATTTTGGATATTCTGCTCACAATTCTAAAGTTAAAAATATGTATGCTGTAAACAGGAGTTCTCATCTTGATTTCATCAATAATTTGATTGCTTCCCTCTTATTAGAGTACTACATATTTAAACATTCTAACATTCTTAAAAACATGTGAATTAACATTCATATATGTACTTGTGAAGTAACTAACACCATGGAGCAAAGTCTTTGAGAACCTAGTAGTTGCCCAGCTACTCAAGAAATTTCCCAAGGATCATTACCGAGTTCACAAGGGCACACCACTGGTTCCTATAATGAGGCAAATTAATTCAGTCCACACACTCCCACCATATCTCCTTAAGCTGCTTTATAATATTATGCTGCCATCTACACTTACGTCTTCCAAGTGCACTTCACGTTTTCTGACCACAATTTTGTATGCGTTATTCATCTCTCCCACATGTGCTACATACCCACCCCCCCCACATCATAATCCTCTCCAGCCCCCTGTCAGTTTCTTCCTCAGCACCCTGTTCTCATACAGCATCATGAACAGGCACCATAAAAATGGCATCACTGTAAATGTAAACGGTTGGTACAGAGGGAGCAGCAAGCCATTCACATGCCAACATAAGGAGTCAAATATACACCGAGTATGTTTAGTGTAAACACAAACCTCTATATTTTGGAATGTCCTTTTTGAGTCAACAACTACAGACATTGGAGTGGTCAGATCTGCTTCCTTCCAGTATCTTTCTGTAAGCCAGACTTGATAATGTGCTTTATTTGTTTCCAAGATTGGTCCACTCACTGTCAGGAAGTCTTTTCCATCATGTGGATATACCTGCAATACATCACAAACACCATTAAAAGAACCACCCCAAATATGAAATTCTAAAGCGGTCAGCACTCAATGGGCTCATTAAGGAATTTCCTGATCTTAATGAACTACAAAGCTTATCACAATATGACCAGTATTCCACAGTGAACAACAAGTTAGGAAATGTATGCATAGTGTAGCAATTCTGTGGCATTCGCTCTGCCTTGTTTAAATATTTAAAAAAACTATATAAAGACCTACAGAAAATGTGTATTGGACATAAAATATGTGCTGCACCTCTTTCAAAAACTGCTATTTGGAACACTTATCATTGTGACAAATATTTAGTAAGTTATAATCAAGATGCACATAAAAACACATGCATACCTTCTGTGAAGTGTCCCTTATTGTCATCCAATTATAACCAGAACTGGAATCTACCAACAAATTTTTGTGTAACTCCCAAAAACATAATTTCATGAAAATCCATTCAGTGGTTGTTCAACTTACTATACACGCAGACAGACATGTGGAAAAGGTAATAGGCACATTTTTGCAAACTTCTGTTGTGAAAGTGCTAAAGATCAAGGGAAAAAGTAACAAATCTAATCAGTCACAATAGCCAAACACTGGGGCCATGAACGAAACCCAAGGCTTAATGAATGTGAAGCAGGGCTTTTAATCACTCTACCATGGTATTCACTGCCAAAATTAAGTTTAACCTCTCATCAGTATCATTGTTAATAGAATTCAAGACTGTAGATGAAACAGAAAGAATGATTCTGTCACAGTGAAGGGACACTCATCATCTGCTGAACATGCAGCATGCATCAGGTAAGAACATGATTACATCAGACAGAACTGACTGTGTGAGATTCATCTGATATTTCAGATGGTGGCTTCACTCGAAACTTCAAAAGACTAGCTGTCAGGCAGACCCAGCAATCAAATAGTTAATATACCACAGAAGTACACTAAGGACAGCATCAGTACATGGATGGGAAAAGATCAAATCTCTAAAATGTGGCCCTGACAATGTAGAAGCATTGTAATGGATCAACTTTCACTTTTATGATGATGCCAGCAACCAGGTTCAGCATTAACCCTCAAGAGAGAGCATAACCATAATCACGTGCACCCCGACTTACTTCGAGCTGCTTCAAGACATCAGGTCTGCCAGAAACAATGATGTCAGTTGACATTCTGGCATCACTCAGGTTCGCTTGCTTGGTGTGGACAAATACAGCAGGCAAGAAGGGGACTGTCAGAGTATCTGAAATCATGGAGCCACTGGAAACATGCAAACTGATATTGGTCTGCAGGACACTTTTGTTCACTGTTGGCATCCCTGAAGATATTACCATGCATCCATATGTTCCTGCAAAACAATAAGCAAGTCTGTTTTGGATTGTAGGTTCTCATAGCATGATGCTGGAATGTGATGCCATGTAGTCTCATAGATGTTCACTGGACTACATAGGTTCACATCCCAGAAGATAGTATTTTCAATAAACAAGTCGTATTGCGTTGTTTTCAGCCAAGAGAAATGAATCCTATATAAAGCTCATTTAGAACATTCATATTATGAATACTTAATGACCTGAGATGATATTAAGATTATATACAGTCTTTTGGGACGTGACAACATGCAGCAGCCTTCTTCCATCTCCACTTCCCTGAATATGGAGGCAACAGATGTCTCCAAAACACTGGAACCTCCCTACTGGACTATAGGGGATCATATTGCAGAAGGCTGTAATCTAATAACCATTCCACCCAAATTTGATTTGTTTCATTCTGGTCCGTCACACTAACAATATTATAAAAAGATACAAACGCACTGGACGGAACTGTTTTATCTTTTTATAATTCCACCAAAACTTTTCATCCAAGTAATACCGATTAACAATGTTCCAACTTCTTGAGTCACTGCAGTTTAGACATTAATGAGGCTGTAGGATTATTCGTTCCTATCACATAACTTTTGGTCATCTCAGTGTTCTGGCACTGACCTGCAGGCAAGGGCAAATAAACTCCCTGTGGGGCTCCAGACAAGATGTGGCCCACAGGGAAATCTACAGCTTATTGTATTTATTCATGGATTATTAAATGACATCAGTAACTCAGACTACATAACATCAAGCGGTACAATAATCAGTGTGTAATACAATCCTGGAATTTGCTGGGGGTGGGGATGTCAAAGTAGAACTATGAAAAACCTCACTAAGGTTATGGTCACTTGCCTGAGGTTTCACCCCACGACCTCCTAAACATAAAGCAGGATTCCTCCTCCCTCACCCATGATGTAAAGCTTGCTGTGTCATTGAAGTTCACTACATCTCAACTCTCTCAAGTAAATTAATTTAATCTTTGAACCCTGACAGTTCTACAATGATTCAAAATTCAGTCCGTACCTCATAAAAAGAAGCACATGGCATCTCTGTCATAAAGACCAACTTGGTAACATTGTTTAGGCAAATAACTATAGTTTATTGCGAGAACCATACAGCACCCATAAATACACTGTGCTTTAAAGCACTTATATATATTTTAAATTTTAGTACTGCAAGCATATGACAGGCACATTTAATTTCACTATATTTTACTACATCAGCAGTGGCAAAGAGTCAATGTGGGATTTGAACCACTGCGAGAATCTGGAACTCTCCATTTCCTCATGGCTGAGGGATGGATGAGGATGGTCAGAAAGCCTACAGAATGTGGCCTTCTGAGCAGTGACAGCAGAAAACCAGGTTAGGACTTGCCTCCAGAAAGAGACTTTACTTATTTATTTAGTAGTCCCTATAAGGACCCTTCTGTACTTGACCATTTCAGAACCTCCTGTTTCCCTTCACCCACCCAAGGCCCTATCTCTTCCCTTCCATCCTCAGATCTGATTGGCCAGTCCTCCTGCTCTCTCTGGCTTGCTCTTTTCACTCTTCCTACACAACTGCTCTACTTCGAGGCTTGGCTCATTCCCATTCTGAAGACAGAAGGCAGCATGTTCCTCCAGTACACTGATAACCACCTGCCACATTACCGCACACAATCTGAAGTCACCTGTCCACAGCGGACGATGGGAAGCACGAGAACAGACGAGGGAGGGAATATGGAAATAGATAATATAACAAAGGGGACCTGAGAGTCTTAGGGTAAAACACTGGCCTCTCATTCAGTGAATTCTGCATTTGAATACTGTTGTCAGATTTCTGTGCAATTTTTCTGGTCATAAATGGAACCTCTATAGATAAGAAAATTCTCGCCATGTGAACAGTACCAATGTCCTCCCCTATGGTTCAGAATCCATGTTAAGCCGCAGTTCCCCCTCTGACAGCCATCATTCTCACACTGGGATAACAGGATCAGCCCCATGAGTGCTCCCATCCCTGAAATCAGTTCTACACCCCTGCCCACACATGCAGAAGCCTGAGAGGTCAATACTCATCATGCCTGGAGGCACCAGACAGACAACAACAAATACTTTCAACAGTCCCTTTGAACATACTAACCAGTGTGTACATCAAAATCCTGATAAACAGTAAATACATCCTGGATCTCAAGATCTGCCATAGGAGTCTCAAAATACAATTCACATGTAAAGGGAAAGGATGTAGCATGGTACATAACAGGACAAGTTCCATTCCTGGTTATCAGGTTGCCAAACTTGGCTTTGTCCTTCACATTTGCCAAGACAACTGGCACCCGGAACCCATGTTTCAATTCAGTATTGATAAGAGTGTTGTCCGAGGGTGTCAGGAATGTTATCTGTAAGCACAGTGAGACAGAAATGTAAGTTACAATATCCAAAGTTTAACATAACAAGTACATAGAATCCAGAAAAAGCTGACTTATATTTATTCTGAAAATCTTCATATCATTACAACACCAAGAGAATACCTTTAACCATAAATGNACAGAAATGTAAGTTACAATATCCAAAGTTTAACATAACAAGTACACAGAATTCAGAAAAAGCTGACCTATATTCTGAAAATCTTCATATCATTAAAACACCAAGAGAATACCTTTCACCATATTCTTATGTAAATGGATTATATCTCTTAAAATAATCCTATACCCTTTCCAAAACGCATCTGTACGTGCATCATACCTCAAATAGGCAACCTTATGGAAAAAAATCCTGCATGTTCAATGAGGCATTGCACAACGTGCTGCTAGGGTTCACCATATATAGGCAGCACAATTTAATACCAACTTCTGTGAAATCAGTAACATAATTACATCTGTATGAAATGCTGATACTGATGGTGAAACCCCCTCAAGGTAGTCATAGGTGAGGGCACCACAAGGAAACTGGCAACCGCAACACAACCACACTTTCCGGGAACTGCTATAAGTCTAAGCTGAACACATGTCACTGAATGGAGCAGTGCAAATTGAGGAAACGACAATGCAACTTGAGGAAGGGCTGAGAAACTCAACTTCCAGGCAATGGAGCATGCCAGTCTTCTCACAATTGCGTTGCAGCGTGGTTTCATATTGTCAGCTGTTCTATAACACGCGCCAGTGATTTACTTGCTTCTTTAGATGGCATTAAATGTTGACAAAACTGCAAATTTTGTTTTTGTGCAGTTAACTGAGCAAGAGCCTGGTATATATATGGCAAATGCCACCCAGACTGTGCTAGGAAGGAGAAAATAGATTTGGCTCGGGAAAGAATTTCTCATGAGACGAAGAAGTCTGGATCCTTGTTAAGTTCTTTTGAAAGAATATAAGCATTTCAGTTTAAATTGTCACAAGAACAGATGCACCTAATGTTTTCTTTTCATAATATTGTATTTAAGCATCC